CACCAGGCGGTTCAACGAGCTGGCAGAGCCGGACTTTGCGCGCACGGGCAGCACAGCATCGCCACCAGCACTCTCCATCTCCTCCCATCCCTCCCGCCCTGCCTCCCTTTCATCCCTTCATCTCCACCCCTCTGAAACACGCCAGGCGATTCAACGAGCTGGCGGAGCCGGACTTTGCGCGCACGGGCAGCATTGCCACCAGCACTCTCATCATCGCCCTCCCACGTCTTTCCACGCCTCATCTCTCCCCCCTTGGAACGCACCAGGCGGTTCAACGAGCTGGCAGAGCCGGACTTTGCGCGCACGGGCAGCACAGCATCGCCACCAGCACTCTCCATCTCCTCCCATCCCTCCCGCCCTGCCTCCCTTTCATCCCTTCATCTCCACCCCTCTGAAACACGCCAGGCGATTCAACGAGCTGGCGGAGCCGGACTTTGCGCGCACGGGCAGCATTGCCACCAGCACTCTCATCATCGCCCTCCCACGTCTTTCCACGCCTCATCTCTCCCCCCTTGGAACGCACCAGGCGGTTCAACGAGCTGGCAGAGCCGGACTTTGCGCGCACGGGCAGCACAGCATCGCCACCAGCACTCTCCATCTCCTCCCATCCCTCCCGCCCTGCCTCCCTTTCATCCCTTCATCTCCACCCCTCTGAAACACGCCAGGCGATTCAACGAGCTGGCGGAGCCGGACTTTGCGCGCACGGGCAGCATTGCCACCAGCACTCTCATCATCGCCCTCCCACGTCTTTCCACGCCTCATCTCTCCCCCCTTGGAACGCACCAGGCGATTCAACGAGCTGGCAGAGCCGGACTTTGCGCGCACGGGCAGCACAGCATCGCCACCAGCACTCTCCATCTCCTCCCATCCCTCCCGCCCTGCCTCCCTTTCATCCCTTCATCTCCACCCCTCTGAAACACGCCAGGCGATTCAACGAGCTGGCGGAGCCGGACTTTGCGCGCACGGGCAGCATTGCCACCAGCACTCTCATCATCGCCCTCCCACGTCTTTCCACGCCTCATCTCCCCCCCCTTGGAACGCACCAGGCGATTCAACGAGCTGGCAGAGCCGGACTTTGCGCGCACGGGCAGCATCGCCACCAGCACAGTGGAGCTCCCAGAGGGTCCGCTGACCCAGTTCAGCCACGACATGGAGCCGTTCCTCCGCAAGCAGGGCATGCCCGTGCGCCTCAACAGGGGTGTGAGAGGGAGTGGTGTGGGGCAGTCTGTCTGTGCGCGGAGGAATGAGATTTTAGTGAGGAACTCGTGCTTCTCCAAGGTGAGTAATGGGGGGGGAGTGTGGAAGGGGGGTTTACTGGTTGGTGTACCAGCGGGAGCAGGCACGACTGCAGAGAGTGAAGCCGCAATGCGAATGGCACCCTTTTCCTGGCAGAGTGTGAAGAGAGTGAAGACACCCGCCAGCGGGAGCAGGCACGACTGCAGAGAGTGAAGACGCCACGCGAACGGCACCCTTTTCCTGCAAGGGCTCTGCCACGAGTGCTTTACTCATCACTCTTTTTGTAACTGCCCTTTCTTCCTTCCCCCTTTCTGTGCCTTCCACATTAATTATCTCCTCTATTGTGCTTTCCCCCTACCTGCTTTCCCTGTCTCTGCTTTCCCCACCTCTCGTCTCCACACTGTGACTATACCAGGAGTGATTGATCTGGTGGCTGACTTTACAGTGTGCACAGAGGGTCAACCGCTCTCCCCTGAAGCTGCCACCATTTTGGTACGCTGCCCTATCAATCCCACACCACCATTCGCTGCCCAATGCCGGCCAGCATTGTTAAGAGTGATTTCACCTTCCATTGACCCTGCTTGCTATCACGTTTGACTTGAATCAGCATTTTCCCTGGGTGAAAGATGGCTGTCTTTCATCTGCATCTGCTGGCTTCTGGATTGGACCGACGGCTCCTATTCATGTCAAGTCAACTTCCCTCCGGTTCTCTCACCTTCCATCGCTATCCATCCTTCCCTTCTCTGCCTGTCCAGCGGCTACTGGGAGAAAAGATGGCAGTGTTTCGGCTGCATCTGCTGGCGCGCTGGACGGACGGCTCCTTTGAGCTGCTGCCAGCTGGCGTGGAGGCAGCCAAGGCGGGCAGTGGGAAGGGCAGCAAGGGAGGGTTTGTGGAGGGGTTTGTGGGGTCTGATGAGGGGAGTGAGGAAGAGGAAGGGGAGGAGGAAGGGGATGGTGAGGAAGAAGCTGCTGCTTAGTGCTTAATGTATGCTTTTGGTGTGAAAATAAAAGACAAACAAACAAAAATCAGACAAAAAGGTAGAGATGATTGTTTAGCAGGTGGTTTGGGTGTTGACATGTAAACATCTCCACACAAAATCTTTCAGTGCGTCCATAAAGCATTACCTTGCCTTTGTAAATGTAGATCGTCAGGGCCGTGTGAAACGTCAATTGTCTAGAACAACCGTTCACGCAGATCGAGCCGTCGCTTTGAAACCCTTGGGTTCATGCCTCAATATCAGCCGTCGATCATCCGCTCGAGAATCTCCCTTGAACGACACGGATAAGGACTTGAGTCGAGCGAGAGGCATTTGCGACTTCAACACAGCACACACAGACCGGCGGTGGCGGTGCGCTCTCCCGTGCCTGACTTGTGTGGTCTGCAGGTCGCTGCTTGAATGTCTGCACTGCGGGTCCGCAGAACTACTCAGGCACTTCCGTCCAGACTTCCCTATCCTACCTACCTAGTTATCTTCTGCCCTCGCACCTTGACCTGGTTGTTTCCAGTGCACGCAAGTGCGAGCGAGCGTCCCTCATGCTTCAGCGAGTACGCATTCGTTGTCTTCCACACGCCATGGATCCGCCTCTCGCACCCCAGCCTCCCTAATAATATTTGCAAGCATGCAGGTAGTCGGTTCGCCTAGCAACCTCAAGGCAGGGCGTTAACTTCAAGGCAACTCTTCTTCAACCTAAGCTGACTGTGCTTTATAGCACGTAAATTCGTCGGACGGAGAAACGGGGGTCAGTGCTACCAGCTTTTCTTTCAGCCGTTTTACCGAAACAACAAGAGAAGAAACGATGGAGAGCGAACAAATCACGATTCTCATACCGCCGAAACCGGAAGCCGGAACCTATATGCTCGATTGCCAAGCGGGGCCTCCTCTGACTGCTGCAGCAGACAACCAGCTCGCGAAGCCACGGCGAAGCAGCCCCTCGTCGCACCGATTCACTCCGCGATTTCTCGTGGGGCGAGTGCTGGGCGAAGGAGCGTACGGCGTAGTGGAGATTTGCCACGAGAGGCGCTCTTGGAGCTCGCCACGTGGCAGCCCGAGGGTACACCTGTCCCCTTCTTCCGCAACACCCGGTCAGGAGCGCGCGAAGTCCACAATTTGCCGTTTCGTTAACGGCGACGTCCACGCAGGCGAAAGTGGCGACGTTGGCGTAGCTTTCGCTTGCAAGACCGTGGAACGATCGGGTAACAGCGAGGACGCGTGGAAGGCGAAAGCGACAGCTTTAAGGAGAGAAGGCAAAGTGATGAGACACCTAGGGAAACACCCGAATATCGTGGAATTGAAAGGCGTGTACGACAGCAACGACCGCGTGCGACTGGTGATGGAGCTGTGCGAAAGTGGCGACTTGCTCTCCCTGCTGTTGAGCAAGACAAAGAATCTCATTAAATCCGTGGAACAGCAGCAGAAGCCGAAATGCCGGACATCCGAGTCGTCTTGGCCGTCACTGAAGAAACTATCTTTGTTCTGCAGATCAAGCTTTAGAAACAGAACTGGTGAACGACCAACTGGTCTTCCTGAACACCTGGCGGCTGGCATCTTTCGGCAGCTAGTGACAGCCGTGCAGCATTGCCACTCGCAGCGAGTTGTGCATCGCGACATCAAGCTGGAAAACGTGCTGCTGACGTCAGCTTCTCCGGCTTCCAAGCCCTCCGGAACAGACACGTGTCCTTTTACAGTGAAGCTGGTGGATTTCGGCACAGCAACTATCCTCAAACCCGGCATAGATTTTACGATGGGAAATGTCGGGAGCGCTGCGTATAAAGCACCTGAAGTCTCTCAAGACAGCTATCACGGCACCCCGGCTGATGTTTACAGCCTCGGGGTTGTCCTGTATGCGCTCCTAACCTCCACATTCCCGATTTCCGATGCAAGCAAAGGCACGGTGACACACGGGAATCCACAAGACTTCATTGATAATGAGTTGACAGTGCATCTTTCAGCAGGTGCCAAGCAGCTGATTGCTGCAATGCTCACCGTGGATCCCGCGAAAAGACCCACATGTTCACAGGTGCTGGAGCATCCATGGGTGCATACGGGCAGATGAGGTCGCTGGTGATGTGTCAAGAATGTGTACAAGACAAGTCTGTTAGGCATATAGCAGCTGGATTGCTTGGTAAAGGTTCAACAGTGTAAGCCCTACATATCCAAATTTGTTGGGTCTGCATCACCAGGATCATCTTGCTCCTGCTGCAATGTATGGTAAAAAAATCTGCAATGTCTAATCGTTCTGGGCCCAAATTGAGGACTAACTGTAGACTTCAGGAGGACTGTCAGTAACTAGCCAATGTTTTCATGATGCTATTTATGAAGCACCCAGTGATCCCAGTTCTACTGGGTGGAGCAGACACAACTAGGGACAAAACAGAACAAGCTGGTTGTAAGGTGGGTTTCTTTGTCCAAGGTAGTGCAGGCTACCTTGGTACTCCAAACAGCATGCCCAGTTGATACTCTATTTCATCAGAGAGATCCCAACTAGGGCACCTGGCAAGCTGACCCCACCTAGCTGTCCATGCAGATGCGAATCATTTGCCCTACAAGCAAACAATAATCCCAGACAAAGAAAAAGGCAAGCGAACCATACAGCACGCCTCCAGCTCGAGTGGTGCGCCCTAACGGTTTTCACACCCCAAGCTGTTCATACATGAATACCTATTGACAAACAGCAGATACCGCTGGAACTCTTGCAGAAAGCCGTGTAGACTGTAAACTACAGTTGTACATATCTAAGGTATCTTGGGAATGGATGCTCCGTGGTCAATACTCCATTGACGGCAATTTCCCTCCTTTAGCCAAAATCTTGCGTTCCAGCTGGAAGGGCATGAAGGGAGGTGGAGGTTGAGCAGGCACAGTACAAGCACAACGTTCATGGAGCTTTGATCAGGTAGATGGAGGGATGGAAGGCTCGAATGATACTAAACAATGGAGAACAATATTGATGGCATGACTGAGCAGCAGCAAGATAAGCAGGGAAGAGGTGTGACAAAGACAGCGCACATGACAGCAATGAGGAACATGGAGAGACGAGATCAGTTCCACTTGGAACAACCCGACAACCTTTTTCTACCCCCCGTCAATCCACTGCACAAAGGCCACGGTAGCACAGCTCACCTTCTCCCCCCCCCCCCCGCCCCCACACTCTCCCTCCCCTCAATTAGTTACGACTGGATGTATACAAACATTTCAACCCCCTCCAAAAAGGATAGCACACATGGACGGTTCATGATGGGATGAGTGCTGGGGAAGAAAACACGCAGCTGAGAGGGAGGCACTAGGAAGGGACTTCAAGAGTAACAGGAGGGCGTGCGGATGAAAACAAAAGGCAGACATGAGATGCGCGCCCTTTGGTAACAAGACTGGCATGTGCAGAATACCATACAGACACGAGACAGCAGCACGCAAAATGAGACTAAACTGCAGGCACTCCAAGGAGCAGGCACGTTACTGTGTAAGCTGGTTCCCTGCACTTCGAGCACCCCTCACACACAACCGTAGTTTGCACGTCTTGACCGAACACAAGACACCCAAGGCAGTTCTGTTCATGACTTCTTCATGTAAACAAGGAAGCAGATGGGGCAGGCGCAGCTGGCGCTATGTCTACGACAATGCAGACAAGTGGGCACTGAAGGGCCATAATCAGTGGATATAAGAGACCGGAACATGAGAAGACTTACCGACATCATGAGCTCCAGCTTATCCTTCACAAGATTGAATTCGTCCTTAATCTTGTCTAGAGAGCTCAAGCACCTGCATCATCAAGTCGACGATGTGACGTAGTTATTGTCATCCGTAACATTAATCCTTGTGCAGCCCCAAACGAAACTACCCGAAATAACACATACTTCGCGCGGTTTCCTTCGTCGCAATACCCTCTCATCTTGATGCATAAAGCCTTCACTCGTTGTGCCCCAATGCTGCTCACGGACCAGATCTCATTATTACGCCATGAAATCACGGCAGAACTTTAAACAAAAACGCGCGTAACAACTTACCTCGAACTACTACCCTTGAACTGGTGAACATGTGCATCCACTTTCTTGAAGTCAATTGGATCTTCGTTGCTGCGGTTACAGGCGGGTTTAAAATGACAAAATTTCTTGCCGATAAGACTAGTTGGCACGTCGACGTTATTCCGGGACGTTATTCCGGTAGGGAAAAAAAACATGTTTGCGCATGCTGAAAGGAAAAGGACGGGTTTTCACTCACACTTCTTGAGTGAGGTCGTCAAGCAGCTTTACGGAGTCTTCAAAAAACAGGCCGATGACCTCTCCGACGAACTCCGGATTGCTCTCGTCTTGCAATTGCTGAAGTTGGGTAAACTGATCATCGAGTATACCCTGGATGCATCAAAACATTGTGAGGAAAACACAAAAAAATGGCACTTGCTATACTACTGAGCGCCGAGGCGCTTGCGATGGATGATTATTCCTTACTGAAGGAACTCGAAACGGTGAAAAACTCGTCATTAAGGACACCCTCCTTTGTGTGCTCGCCTGGGAGCAAACCCTCGCCAACATTCATGATCAGTGACACGAGGCCGTAAACAAGTATGCTGTCTATCTTACCTCAGCAAACATGCTGTCTGTAAGCTCTGTCAACTGCTTCGTTAATTTGGCGATTTCATCTTCCTTCGATGCCTTTTTGCTTCTGCGATACATGGTCGAAACCCTACAGCACCAACTACAACAAGCTCCCACCGATCAACTCCTCCCTAACTCGCGATGCAAAATGCAGCCTTCTATTCAACGTGATCCACGGCCTAATGACGAAGTCCTCTTCGAAGTTACGAATGTGCATGTGCTGATGTCGAGCTGCAATGATAGTGTCAAAGTTCAGAGAACATCCGCCATTGATGAGAGGTAGGTGACTAGAAAGCAACCAGCAGTTTTCGCGGAGTGGGGGAGAAGCGGAGTGAAGGATGATGCGCAGGACCAACATGAGCACCTCAGGGATGCCACGCTGGACTTTGCGAAGGTATGTTACCACAAGACGAACTAGCCTCTCAAATTTGCTCCGAGTTTCCTCCGCGCACGCAACGGTTGCAGTAGTTCACCATCGCCCCAAGTTGGACTGCTCTGATGCACCTCAGCCGCACATTCATCGATACATAAGTTCCGTTTTAAAACATTACGCTTATACAATAATGCTGTATGTTTGCTAGTAGGGACAAACAAATCCTTGAACCATTCTCTGGCTTGCCATATAGAATTTTCAAATCACCTATATGCAACCACACCTAGCTTAACTGTTGGGAACGACTGACACTAGAAAACGCATCAAACACAGCCGGTGATCAATGCACTCCACTGTGCGGAACCAACCATACTAACCGGATGCTCCACCACTCCCATCAGCTCCTCCAGTTCCTGGCTTTCTTCTTCGTCTTTCCTTGAACTTCGCCCATAACCATGTACCGATCAAATAGGCACCTAAAACATAAACCTGTGCAGGCCACCCAACGAGAGATGCATGAAATGAAACAACAGTTAGGTATGAAGACTTCAACATGACAAAATGAACTTGCCAACATAAATTGTTCACCCAGAGAACATCCACTGCCAGCTAGGCTATGATACCTTACCTGCCGCATGCCACCCACCTGCCACTTGCCACCTTACCAGCCACTTGTCACCTTACCAGCCACTTGTCACCTTACCTGCCACTTGTCACCTTACCTGCCACATGGCAGCCCCCTGCTTCTCCTCCTCTGGAACTGCAAATCCAACTGACAAGCTCTCTGGTTTCCGCACAGGCATGTGCACTACAGGGGGTCCATTGACTATCTCGGGTTCTGGTAGGGATGCCGACACCGTGAATGACTCAGACTGCATGGAGGAAAGGGGCCATGGGAAAGAAGACCACATCGATTGATTGTCATTGTGAAGCTCCGCTGAAAAGTGAGAACAGGACACGAGGAATAGGAATTGAAGAAGACTTGTGGTGCTAAGCCTCACAGTATGACAACCAGAGTGTTGGGAAAAAGAACGGTGCAAACCCACCTCTTACTTGCCACATGCATGAGATGCTGCTCCATGCCAGTGAGACAGATGAGATACGTGAGATGCTGCGACTATGCCAGAGCACAACGCACAGACCTGAACGTGAAGAACTGACTCATGCACCCACCCACTGCTGACACCACCAAACGGCCATTCGAATGTCCACGCACAACCTGTGCCATGTGTTTAATTTATCCTGGAAACAAAATGCCAAGAAAAGCTGTACCTCCGTGTTCCCCTGGCGAGGCAACAATTCATTGCTTCCTCCATTATCTGCAGCAGCCATCGTGGTAGCTTCCCCGCCCTCACAAGCCCAAGCCTGACTGCACGAGAATTGGGCAAAACAAGAGAGCGGGCCTCGCTGGAGACCTGCGTGTGAGCGATTATGGAGGCAGTGTTAGGTGGGAGGACGGGTGGGTGGGTGTTGAGTGTGGTTACGAAGGGTGCGGCTGTGTTAAGGAGATGCATGGTGTGCGTACCTGTATGCACGTTTGTGTTGTGTGCACCGGCAATGAAAAACAATGAGGAGTGCCCGTCCTATGACACAGCGTGAAAAGGCTTTAAGAGAAGGGCGTGCATATATGAGAGTCTCTTTAAGAATTCCAGAAATGTGTCTATGCTGTAAATCACACCTGAGAATGCGTTCACTCAGGACGATCCAGTTTCAGAATACGTTCACCTTCAACTGTCTAACCCATGGACACACTGGCTTGAAAAAGAAAAGGGGGGAAGGGAGGGGTCGGGAGGAGAGGAGTTAAAGAGGGATGATGAGAGGGCAACGTGGTGAAACACTGGGACAAGTAAAAAAAACTACACAGCAGGCTCATCCGAGGAAAGAGGAAGGAGGAACGCGGCGATCGATGAAAAGAAGGAACCAGCGATCAGAGGAAAGAGGGACGAAACGTTCACGAGGTGCATGCGACTCGGAAAACCTGGTCTACCAAACGCGGCGCTAGAAGCCAGCGATGATGTCACGTGAACATCATGGCTGACGCGGCAACGTCTGCGACGGTTGCGGTACGTGGCACCTAAAAGAACAGAGCGGATTTATGACTAACCTGACTAATACGAAACAGGGCAGTGCGACAGTGCAGACGGAACTGGTCAGTCGCTTCAGGTAGGAGAGGGTACACAAGGATACTGTACTCGATAATATTCACTTCGGTGAAAGAGCTTCTACTCAGCAGCTCTCATTAGGAGAAAGGATTGCCAACAGGCATCCAAGAAAATTCAACAAAAGTCGCATATTATTTCTACTAATCCCCTTTCTCTTACATGTTGTGTCCACAATGTCACTCATGGTCTCCATTGGTACTTAAGAGATAACAAGTTAGACAAGCTCTGAACTGGCTAAAATACCCACAGCTGAACAGGCTATGAGTCTATGACTCCTAAACTACACATGTAGCAACCCTGAAATGCCACTACAACTACCACCCTGATCTGACCATTAATGAAACAATTACAGACAAAAAAAGACTCACATCCTTATCAATCCTAGCGCTATCACCCTGAGCTCCTAACACTGGGCAGTCGCACTGTGCACCGCTGCAACTGTCTTGTGCTCATAACCACACCCATCCTGGTAATGTTGCTGACAGAAACGATGCGGTAGGCACGCTTTCAAATACGTTTCCAGCTGTTGAGTGTACAGTTCAGGGAATGTGCGAAAATGGTCCACATGCGGCGAACATTCAAATCGCATCGACATCACCCTGTGGCCCTGGGCCCGCTGCCCGAGGATGAATTTTTCGACAGCGGGCAGCGGAATGACTATGTCTGCTTCACTGTAGAAGTAGAGCTGCGGGCAGTTGGGCTGGTGGTGGTGCAGAGTGTTAGTCACCTCACCAAGCTTCCTGGAAGATTCATTTCAGAAGAGGGCAGAGAGGGGTGAGGGGGTTGACAGGAGAGAGTTACATAAGAATATGAGAAGACTGCAAGCGAGAAAAGAGAGGGGTGAATAATCAGAGACATCAGGAGTTTATGAGGTCAGCGAGCCATGGCTAATATTCAACCATTCATGAGCTGGCTGGCAGTGGCAAGTACACTGACGGACTGACCGACCGACCAACCGACCGACCGACCGACCGACCGACCGACCGACTGACTGAATGACTGACTGACTGACTGGCTGAACCCACCCTTTGACATAGGGGATGCGCAGAGCCACTTGGAAGATGAGCCACAGCGCCGTCACCAGCACACTCTCTAGCGCATCCAATCGCACCCTTACCACCGCCACTCACTGACTCACTGACTGACTGGCTGACTGACTGACTGCCTGACTGGAATGACTGACCGACTGACTGGCTGAACCCACCCTTTGACGTAGGGGATGCGCAGAGCCACTTGGAAGATGAGCCAGAGCGCCGTCACCAGCACACTCTCTAGCGCATCCAGCCGCACCTTCACCACCCTCACCACCGCCACTGCCACGCGCCCACACGCCCCCACCGCCCGCCCACACGCCTGCACCATGCTGCTCGCGGCCCCGCCCGCCCTGCCTCTCCCCCCTCCTCGTTGCCACCACCGCTGCTGCCGTGGCTGCTGCTGTTGCTGCAAGTGAAGGCCGCTCCCCTGCTCCTGCTCTTTTCTCAGCTCTTTTCCCAGTACCAGCTTTCTCTCCTGCTTCTCTGCTTGCATTCTGTACACAGCTATCAGCTGCTGCTGTAGCAACCACTGCTGCTGATCCTGCTGAGACACCCCTCTTGAAGCACACCCGTTACTACAGCCATTACCAGGACCAGCACCACAGCCGATCACTTCTCGCATGCCTCTATCCCCCAAACTGCCTGCCACTGCCGCCACAGCAGCCGCAGCGGCACCTGCAGACGCCTTACTTCCCCTTGCCTTGCTCCCACACGTCTTTAATCTCTCAGCCTCGTCAGCCCGCCACCAAACCAGCTCACACCCGCAGGGAGCAGGCGAAGGAAACAACCCCTCCCCACCATCCAGTCCCCCTTGCTCTTCCCCCTGCCCTTGCCCTTCCACTTGCCACGAGCCCTGCCCCTGCCCCGGGTACAGGCTCTCACAGCTGCTGCTGCAGTCACTCCGGGCTACAGTCACACTGGTGAACGCTGGAGCAGAGAGAGCACCCGCAGCAGATGCCACAGAGGCAGTATCCACAGCAGCAACACCAGAAGCAGCAGTAATAACACCACCGCAACCGCCACCGCCACCAGCAGTAGCAGCAGCAGCAGCAGAAGCAGAAGAGGAGGAAGCAGCAGGGAGGGTGCTGGCTTGCAGCAGGGCGGATTTGAGCTGGGAGCAGCCGACGATAGAGTCAATGACAAGGGAGCCCATGCGCGTTGCAGCACTGCGCTTCTGCAGAATGGCCGCTGAGAAACCGCTCGCCCACACCTTGAGGTTGGGGAGAAGATATGACAGGGACAGGAGGGGAGTAGGGGGGTCAGAAAGTGGGGTCAATGACAAGGGATCCCATGCGTGTCGCCGCACTGCGCTTCTGTAGAATGGCCGCTGAAAAACCACTCGCCCACACCTGAGGATAGGGAAAGGGGACTAAGGAACTTAGGGCGAGCGGGGAGGGTGCTGGCTTGCAGCAGGGCGAATTTGAGCTGGGAGCAGCCGACCACCGAGTCAATGACAAGGGAGCCCATACACGTTGCAGCACTACGCTTCTGCAGAATGGCCGCTGAGAAACCACTCGCCCACACCTTGGGGTTGGGGCCACAGACGGTGGGGAAGGGAGGGGAGGTAGGGGGGTCAAAAAGGTGATTCAATGACCAGCGAGCCCATGCGCGTTGCAGCACTGCGCTTCTGCAGAATGGCCGCTGAGAAACCGCTCGCCCACACCTTGGGGTTGGCGGGAAGATATGGCAGTGAAAGGAGGGGAATAAGGAGTCAGGAGGAGTTACTGACAGGGAGCCCATGCGCGTTGCGCACTGCAGTTCTGCAAAATGGCCGCTGAAAAACCGCTCGCCCACACCTTGGGGGTTGGGAGGGGAATAGGGGGTCAGAAAGTGGGGTCAATGACAAGGGATCCCATGCGCGTTGCTGCACTGCGCTTCTGCAGAATGGCTGCTGAGAAACCGCTCGCCGACACCTGTGTATAAGGGGCAGAGGTGGTGGGGGAAGGGAGGGAGAGGGAGGTGGGGAAGGCTAAGGAGCTTAGGGAGTCAATGACAAGCGAGCCCATGCGTATCGCTGCACTGCGCTTCTGCAGAATGGCTGCTGGGAATCCGTGCGCCCACACCTTGGGGTTGGGGGGAGCAGCTGGTCGGGAAAGGGATGAGGGTGTGTGGTGGGGGCGTTGACTAGGGAGGTTTGGGGGGGGGAAAGGAGGGGAGAGAGGGTGGTTTAAATCACGAAAGAAGGAGCTGGAAGCGTGGGGGGGAATGCAGTGTAGCGAAGGAGTGAACAGTTGGAAAGGGAAACGGCGGATGATCTGCCCTTTTAGATCTGAGCAGTTGCAAGTCCAGCGCGTGATGGTTAGCCGGCATCAATCCAAAGGTGGGCGGGGGAGAGGAGCGGCGGGGGCCGGTGGCCGGGGTGGGGGCGGAGGGGGGCGAGAGGGGTAAGAGGGAGTGGGAGGAAAAGTTGGGTGGTGTCGAAGAACGCTTAGCACACAGCCTTGGAAACCCCCACACTGTTCGTACAGAAAGTGGCTCTGTTTTCTCACCTTGGGGTCTTCTTCCAGTAGAGGCGCGGAGTCCACGACTGATCTTAACTTCACCAATAAGCCTCATCCTCACTATGAAGACTTCCACATTCCGGTAAAAGTTCCCCCGGATCTCACCTTCGGATCTTCTTCCAGTATAGGCGCGGAGTCTACGACGCACCCCTTTATAATCCCATCCACTGCCGCTTTCCCGTACTTGCGCTGCAGTCGCAGCAGCGCCGCGCCGTACGCAATCCATCCAGTATTGCTGAACGTGTGGAACAGCAACGAGCGACGCCCGCCGCCTCCCAGCCCGCCGTGAATCGCGCCGTGCGTCGCGCCGCGATTCGCACCCTCGAGGAGCCATCTCTCAAGCTCCGTAACCAGATCGTCGACATGCAGCTCCGCCTTTTCGCCGAGCTGCGAAATGGTAACATGCGAAAGAAGCATTAGCGAAAGCATAACAAGGAGGGATCAATGATTCGCCTATCTACTACCACTCTCGCTACTAATATACTCTGGCTATAGTTGCTCTCGCGGCAGTCACTCACCCTGACGCTGAATATGTCGGTGAAAGGGATGACGAAACCGATCGCATCGATACCCCTCGCGTTGTACCACGTGGCATACTGCCGCATGTGCCGCTGCTGCGCGCCGAGCCATCCCAGCAGCACCACTGCCGTCCGCCCGTCCCCCTCCGCGCCCGCGCAAGCCGCCGCTTCCCCCCAATTCCCCACAGATCGCGCTCGCATTATCGTCCCATTCCCCCCCGCCCACGATGCGGAGGCGTCACCGCCAAGGGAAAACGGCGTCACTGACGGAACTGACGGAAAAGTATCGATCTTGACGAAATCAGTCCGATCACCCCGACCCTGGACGGAAAAGTTAACGGAGCCATCGATCTTCAGCGGGAGTTCCGCGGCTGTGGCGGCCGTAGCGGACGGATAGCTGACAGAAGATTCTGTTTGACCGTTTGTGGGCCAATTCGCGGCGTTGTTGCTGCAGGGGTAATGGACGATCACGCGCGGCTTCTCCTTTTGAGCCTGATTGTCGCTCTCACTCTTACTGTCTAAAAGGCTAGCCTTTTCCTGATTGGATAAAGAGGAGGAAGAGGAGGATGTAGATGAGGGAGTGCTGAAGAGCGGCAAACACGGCGGTGATGCTCGCGCTTTCGCCATTGGATCGGCAGCCTGTTGCTCCTGCTCCTGCGTCTGCTTCAGTCGCTGCAGCTCCTGTTGCTGTTGCTGATTTTGCTTCGCGGTCGCAAGACGCTTCTCTGAATCGCCGCAATCAGCGCCGATCGCGTCGGTTGCGACGGTTGCGACGGCCGCTGTCGCCGCTGCGACGAGCGTCGGCGCGGAGTACGATAAATACAGCAGCACCGGCGTCACGAACCTGAACGAGATCTCAGGAATGGACCCTGACGTCGAACCACCCGTACTCAAAACGATCGAGAGAACAAGCGAAATCACGACTTGCGCGATTGACGGCGCGCCAAGTGGGCCGGCAACCTCGGTGGCGAGATAAGTTGGTGCGAGCATGCCATTCCACACGACATGCAGCCAGCCGTCACCGAGCGAGCTGGTCAGTGGATGGAGAAGGCCAACGAGGAGGAGGAAAGTGGCGAGGTAGAGCGAGAGCTTGCGACGAATGACGGGGAGAGTGGAAACAACTGTGGCAATGGCGGTCAGAGCCGTCGTCAGCATGGCTGCTGGCGAGGGGTGGTAGGTTTCTGTAGCCTCGGTGTTTCCGGAGCTGGCACTTGGCGTTCCCGAGGTTTCGAAAGCTCCCCGAGCGCGACGATCCCGAAGCTGCTGACACACCTAGCCCAACCTCCGGCGCCTAGGACCTGCTCTGGCACCTCCGCGCCTAGCCTTTGGTGTGTAAAGTGTCTCAACCAATCCCGTTTCTCCACGCCCACCTCCAAAAAGGTTTGCCGCTCAAACAGCAGCCACGAGATCAAACAAAACTGACGCCTTTAGAGAGTTCCTACGACTTTCACTTGGGTTTTGATAAAAAAGAACTGGGAATGGAAGGGCTGGCGATCAGCGGAACCTGGGTGAACTCTTCTCTACGATTCGGTTTCGCGTGGGCGATGAGTAAGACGGTCGCTGTTTCCATCGCCTGTTAGAAGCCCAATCCGCTTCGCTGGCAAGCTTTAGGCGACCTCTATTCCGACGTCGCCCAGGGTATGGATCGCACAGAAGTGTCGGCCAAGATGTGTGCAGCAGCTCACTCATGCGACAGATAATCAAGTCTCCGCGCGGCACAGAAGCTGAAGCTGTTGAAGAACAGATTTTGCCTTGCGACGTCTTTGTGCAAAAGGTGTTACTATGACCTCATGCACGGTCTCACGATTCACGAAGGTTTTCGTGATCTCAATGCTGCTTGTGATTGGCAAGGACCCTCTTGCGATAGATTTGTAGAGGGACCGTGAGCTCTGGCTGGCGGCTCCCCCAATACGAATCGCGGCCGCGAACGAAGCACACTTGGGACGCCACTCTAACGCGGTCGTAAGTGGTCGCAGAAGGTCGACAGGACGTCGTGAGGGTGGGCTTGGTGGAGGGTGAACCAAGCGTGCGACATTACCGAGGGCGGTCAGGGGGACGTCAACGTGAAGTGCTCTTGCAACGAGGTTGAGCCAAACAATCACCTTCGGGGCGGAAATTTACTGAAGCAGAAGTGCAATTGGCTGGAAATAGAAAATCGTGTGATACACCTTGATACGCTAGAATCGTATTAATATATATTCTAAGCAAGAACTTCAAATTCATTGCAAACAAGCATATTTCATAGCAAAATTGTGATAGTCCACAATCGCTGGTGCAATCTCTACTAAGATTGGTTGACGTAACTAGCGTGGTTGATTGGCCAATTTCACGCTGGTTTCTGAAAAAAGGGAGAACGGATTTTATTTCTCTACAACGATTCCCTTTCCAAGCATACAATAGTGAGAACCGATACAGCTGGAAGCCAATGTTCTGTAGCGGTTTGCTCTATACAGCGCCAGGTTGCTCTACACGTATTGGGCTGGGGTGTACGTCATCACCACACCACGCCTACAGTATCTCCGTCATCCCAACCAGCCCAAACCATCACGCCTTCCCCCCTTCCTCGTCCCTCCCATCGTCACTTCTCAAACATCTCATCCCCACTTTTCTACTCACACTAACTCACAGCACGAGACTGTATAATTGGGAGCTTGTACGAGCATGGTAGTAAAATCGGTTTACCCATATTCGACAGATTAAAAAGGTCAAATTTCATCCTTCGCCATAGTGTTGTCGAATCATTGGACATTTCGAATTGCGGTTCTTTTTCATCCTGACTCCCTTGTCCGATTCGCGCAACGCCATTGCTCTCAGCTTTCACGAGTACGGCATCCAGGCAATCATTCTTCTGAAACGTGTTCGAGCGGCATTCATACTGTAACAATGTACCAGCAGTTGTTACACAATCTCGCGTCGGCTCTCGGCATGGAGCCACCGCAGGCAACCACCATAAACCCGACAGGTCCCGCTCACCTACTAAACTGGGACTTCGAAGTCACTTTTGGCTCCAAAACTTTCCGCGGGCGGGCTGAAGCTTGCCAAGTCATCTCCAGAGACAGAATGCCTGGGGGTGAGCACCTGCCACTCGGCTTTAAGAAGAAGGATGCGCAATTACTGGCCTACCGAGCAGCGTTTCGGAATGCGTTACTGGGAAAAGTTTCCTGTCCTGGCGCGCACCCGCCTGCAGACGCCGACCGCGTAGCAGAGCTGGCGAAGGAAATCGCGAAAGCGGAGGCGAAAGGTCTGTTACAAGTAGACTGCAGCCGCATGTTGCAAGGCATGCCCGCCTACACGACAGCCGGCTATGGACCATCACATTGCCCCTCGTTCACGACCACCGTTGAGTTACCTAGCGATTGGGGTACTTACTCCGGCATTCCCTGCCCGACGAAAGGCCTCGCTGAAAAAGACGCAGCTTTCGCGGCCTGGTGGGGATTTTTCATTGTGGGACCGTTCGTGCAAGGCGGAGAGGACGGCACTCTTATTGTGGTGGATCTTACAGAAAATGGGGAGGAGGACGCTGCAGCAGCACACGCGCTGGGTGCATTGTCGGGACCTTCAGTAGGGTTTCAGGCGCAGGTAGTGAAGCAGGAAGGATGAGGAGAGTCTTAAGATCAGCAGGAAGCGGATAAAGTATGTGGTAGACGGAGGTGCTGCTGCGGCTGATGCTGCTGCTGTAGTTGCTGTGGCTGTGGCTCTTCAGGTTCAGGGGGGGGGGGGGGGGGGATGGAGCACTATACAGCCTAGGCGCAGAAGGGAAATTCAGGTTATGTACGAGATGTCAGCAGGGAGTTGAATGAAAGACTGCAGCAGTTGGGGGCATCGTGCTGTGCCACTGTACAGGAACAGCACTGTTAGATTTTTAAGGTCGTCGTTCAACAATCTGTGATGACTCAGAATTTCCTTTTCCTGTACTGTTGACGCACGGCTTGAGACACCATCCTTGGTGAGCTTGGATTGCAAACATTTTATCCACGCTGCAGGGTGGTGGCTAAATTGTAGAAAATAGGGGCATGGATGGGTGGGTGGTTGTGGTAGCCTCCAGTGCCTTCCTCACCTGACTCGTTCACTTCATGCACTCTTTGTGGCTAGAGTTTAGTTGCAGCAGATTTGAGTACTGCAGTACCTGGTATCTGTCTGCTCAAGCAGGCTCCTGTAGACAAGAGGATGGAAGCTGAGTTTTCCAAGAACAATTTGTCTTCATGGTTATTTTTGTTGCTTGCAGCATTTTCGTATCTGCAACATACGAAAAGCAACGTGTAGCATTTTTCCCATTTAAAGAAATGAGCCAGGTCAGAACGCCCACACCAGCCGCTCCAAGACTTGTGCGGCCAAGGCAGTCCACGTTTTGTACATGTCAGCAAGCGGTGGTCCCCAGCACCTGGCCCACAGCTTTGGATGAATGTCGGCTCGTGCTTACGTGTCCACGGCCCAACAGTGTGATTCGCCACCATTTCCGGAAGGCGTTCAACCACCAGCGCCTTCCATAAAATAGACCCATCTGAGACCGCGACGAAGCATGAGGGTGTAGAATCGAGGGTTTCCCGCCAACCAATCTCGAGGTAGCAATTCTCGCTGATGGGGGGACAGCCATGCGCTGTCGTGATCAGAATTGTGCTTCCTGCGCTGCAAGAAAAGCTTCAATCAAGTCTGGTCTGCTTGCTCGTTGATCAGCTTGACTCCCGTCAACTACGCCAGAGAGGTTGTGGAGGAGGGTTGGTGACCCACTCTCGTACCCCTGCTCTTGGAAGTACCGCTTCGATCCTATCGTGAGTCAAGAGGCGAGACGGACATCTTCGTGTTTGCTAGGCGACCAACTCTTACCGTGACCCGATCAGCTATGGCTAGCCAGCTAGTCGTTCGGGTTTCCACAACCGCCGCTCCGACGCTGGCGGCAGCAGCGGCTGCAGCAGTCGCCACAGCAGCAGTCAGTTCCGAACTCCCCGATCGTCGCACCGCTCCGACCCCCGCCGTGCTCGTCCATTCCGCCATGGCCGCGTCTCCCGCCACCTCCGGTCGCCACCGCTTCACGCACGCCATAGCTGATCCTGCCGCTTCGCGGTTCAAAACGTCCGGGGTAGGGATAGCTTCGTCCGTGATTCTCCAATCAGCCGCCTCCGCCGCCGCCTCCGCTCGTTGCCCCGAGTCTAGTCTCGCCGCCGCCTCTCCCGTCTCGTTTCACGCTGCGTCCTCTGCCTATCATCTACCGCCAGTATCGTACCGAGGTTTAGGCAGCATGTTTACAAGATCGCCCATTCCATACGCGTTAGAGTCCAATCGCCTGTTATCTCCTTCTCGTCAGCAGCTTTCCCGACTCATCGCGCCGTCGTCCCACTTCCCGATTCCGCGCTTGTCGCAGCGATCGATCACAGCAAGTTATGGTAGTAATCCGACCGGTAACACTTCCGGATTCCCATTGGGTAACTTTTTTCTCACTCCACCGCTACCGATCTCCGGTCCTTTTAACGGCGACGTCTCTTCGTCCAAGCCTTTCCACCAGTGGCACCAGCCAGCCGTCAGGTCTAACGGCGACGGCGTAGCGGGTGACTTGGACGGGTCTGGTCCGCCGTCAGAAACCGCGAAGCCGGTGGTGGTGCTGCTTGGGTGGCTCGGCGCGCAGCAGCGGCATTTGCGGCGGTACGCTGAGTGGTACACGTCACGCGGTTTCGATGTAATCACGTTTGTCATACCGTTTAAGGACGTCCTTAGTATCCGACCGGGGGAGAAGGCGGAAGTCCACGTGGACAGTTTAGTAGACGAGCTGCACAGGTGGCTATCGGGAACTGGTCCAGAGGTGGCCCTATCCGCCACGTCAGCCCCCGTGAGTCAGGGAGAGGCGAAAGAGCCACGCACGCTGATGTTCCATACTTTCAGCAACACGGGATGGTTGACCTATGGAGCGGTACTTAATCGGCTGCATGATAAGTACGGTAAGGCGGCCATAGACGTGGCGATTAAGGGATGCGTCGTGGATTCCGCGCCGATCCTGGAGCAGGACCCGCAGGTGTGGGCGCGCGGGTTCGCCGCTGCGATCTTGCAGAAGCGCAGCTCCGCCACCCGCGCGGGGCGCACGGACGTTTCCGCCACTGCGGAAGCTTCCGCTGCTGCTGACTCAGCAGTTTTGGCCGCCGAGTCACCCTCCGCGGGCGGCGCTGCGAAGGGGAGCACTGAAGGGGTTGAGAAGGAGGCGAATGGGAAGGTATGGGGAGTGACGGATAGAGGCGAGTGGGAGGCACAGCCGAGAGATGAAACTCGCCCCGCCGCGATCGACGGTCTGAAGCACCACCATCGCAGTTCCCTAGGCTTCGCGTCTCTCACTGCTGAGATGGATGTTGTGGAGGAGGAGAGGGAGGAGAGGAGGCGGAGCGCGGGTGGTGTAGCGGGAGAGCGAGCGGGGGAGGGAATGGGGGTTAAGAAGGTGGTGAAAGCGGAAGAGGATGCGGTGGAGAAGACGTTGCTGAACGTTCTGCGAAGGTTCTTCACGTGGGTGCTGCAGCTCCCAGTTGTCAAGACGTGAGTAGATGCTTCGAGAAAGCTCTGACATGCATAAAGCACGTACATTAATTCTCAAAGCACTTGCAGACATTGCGTCATGTTGCATTGCGTCGTGTCCGTTCAAGTTTTGTCATATCACGCCATATCACATCATGTCATCTTGCCCTTTTGGTCATAGTGCATGCATGATGTCATGCAGCATTGTCTCAGGTTCCTCATCTCATGTTGCATATCGCTCATCTCATGTTGCATATCGCTCATCTCATGTTGCATATCGCTCATCTCATCACAGTTTTATGCAATTGCTGGCATGGATGTCAGCTTGCATCATCATGGATTCGAACTGTCACTGCTGCTGTGTCACCCATTATTGCTGTTGTTCCTATCAACTCCCTTCATTCCCTGATCCCCTTCTCATCCCTCTTCTCCACTCCAAACCGTTCTCTAAATTCCTCCTTCCGCTGCTCCCAATCTACCCTGCTGCATCCTCCCCCCCTCCCACCTCCTCTCCCTGCATGGATTCTGGATAACAGCAAGCTCGATACAGTCACAAGCACGCTCGCCTCAGAGCAGCCCGAGTGCCCGCAGCTGTATCTCTACAGCACAGCAGACACTGTAATCCCTGCAGAGGCTGTCGAGTCGTTCATCCAACAGCAGAGATCGCGCGGATGCGCCGTCATGTTCAAGAGGTTTGATTCCTCGCCACACGTGGACCACTACCGAACCTTCCCGGAAATTTACTCGGCAGAGCTGGAAGCGTTTCTGAAAAAGTGCCTGCAGCAGCCCAAGCAGCAGCAGGAACAACAGCAGCATAAGAATGGCAGGCACAAGGGGAATAGTAGAGAGGCCGGGTTTGGGAGGTTACAGCCAGCTCTTGCCATGGCTGAATCGCAGTGATGATTGCCTGGTTACCACAGCGACAGCAGCGATTCCTCTTAACTTTATTCTTGGTGTAGTGCCAGTGTTGAATCACAGATTCATAGAACCAGTAATGAGCGGCTGCTACATCCTAGCAGAATGATATGCACAATGATACCGTATTACCGTACTTGAGGGTAATGGCGGCCTGACTAGTGAAGACTCCAACCTGTTCATTTATTTGCTGCTAGGACATTACCGGTGCGATGGCGACAGCTACATTCCAGCTTACGGTATCATTAATTATCACCATTGGTGCACAGATCGATGAAGCAGCAGCAACCTATCAGATGCCATTGCTGCACGGCTGGTGTGTTTTTTATGGCTTCAGGTATTGGCCAACATATGGTACAATCCCATGCTCAGTTGAAATGAAACAAATGTCAAAAGAGCCAAACTGAAGGGCGTAATTAGTTTCAATTCAATGCTACATCTAGTGCCTACACTAGCCACATCAGCATCAAAGCATGCAGTTGAAATTAATATCTAGGTATGTGAAAAAGGGACCTACAGTAATACTGTCCCACATCCTAGGCCTAACAAGAATATCTAAAATGGTGGGTTTTGTCAACTCCTAACGAGCTACACTCCCAACCTATAAATTATTGCTCCCTCCTGCCTAAAGTTGGGCTTTGGCTGCCAGCCTACTGCGTGCGCAACGCGCATCTCAATTCTCGAACACACCCACGCCTTGTCGCGCACGTGGGAACATGGAGACCAATGAAACGCCAAGAATGCTCATCATTGTGTTGAGAAGAAAGGGAAAAGGGAAGGTAAGGGGAGAAGGGGAGAAGGTAGGGAGGAAGGGACAGGGACGGAGGGAGAGGGGAGTGGATATGGCACTGCTATCAGAGACCCTACCTCATGGTCCACAATTGACCATGCCCCTCCGCTCTCCAGGTCGGATCATCTTTCTCTCAACTCCAGTGTCTCGAGTCCCAACCTTCGGAACCTTCTCATCTTGCTATATCACCTGTCGGCATCTTCAAACCAGCTCCTGCCTCTTTATAGTCACACCCTCTTCCAGGGCATCTTCTTATAATTGCAGTATAGCCAAGTTGGGTAGCCAAGTTCCTGGCATCTTGTAGCAGTAGCAGTATGTAAGTGGTGAGAAGTCTCCTCGGGTATCCACTCCCTCCCTTCCGTGGACCGACATTGGAAGAGCAGCCGTCAAAACTGAATTCCGTGCCCATCCCCCCCTCCCTCTCCAGGAGCACTCAGTGCCTTAAGTGGATTCTGTGAAAAAACGTGTGTGTATGCCAAAACTGAGAGGCAAGGAAAAAACCGTATAAGGACAGGCTGCCGAGAGCGATGCACTGTCTAAGAGCCGAGGGAAATGCAGCTGTATAGAGACTGAGCACGAACGGGAGCAGTGAACCAATCCCGTGTCACCAACGTTCCCCCATCCCCCATCCCCCTGCTGCTGCTTCTGCTGCTGCAGCTGCGTTTCTGCTGCTTCTGCTTCCGCTGATGCTGCTGCTGCTGCTGCTGCTTCTCCTTCCCACAGCTATCCTGTCCCTTTTCCTGCAACATGACTGCTTCCCACTGTCACAATCAGTCCTATCGCGTAACACCCATCACTGTATCGGTCGTCCTCCCAACGCCCCGACCCAACAGCTGGGACGTTGGGACACTGTTGCAGCCACCGCTGATCAAACACTTCTGCTTCCGGTCTCTCCCTTCCACTTCCTTCCTCCTTCCCCGTCCCTCCTCTTCCCCTCCTCTCCCCCTCTCACCTCCAATTCCCTCCTATCACCTCCTCTCTCCTCTCACCAGGACGGAGACCTGTTGCTGCGTGGCTGCAGCTGCCATTTAAGTTGACTCAAAAGTCTTCTCTCCTCCTTCCCCTACCCTCTTCTCTCCTCCTCTCCCCTCCTCTCCCCATCTCGCCCTTCCTCTCTCCTCCTCTCACCAGGACGGAGACCTGTTGCTGCGTGGCTGCAGCTGCAACGAAGCAACCTTCCAAGCAGCTTCCTGCGAAGGAACCTTCCATGCAGCTTCTTGAGAGGGAACCTTCCACGACGTTTGTGCAACGAGGTAAGAGGAGGGCGGCTGGTAGGCGGTGTGCTGACACACAACACACCACGACGAGGGACCCTGTCATGGGGTGGGGGAGACGTGGGGCATGGGAAAGGAGTGCAGCGAAGGAGAGGGATATGAGCATCGAAGGAAGGGGGCTGGTAGGCGGTGTGCTGACACACAACACACCACGAGGAGGGACCCTGTCATGGGGTGGGGGAGACGTGGGGCATGGGAAAGGAGTGCAGCGAAGGAGAGGGATATGAGCATCGAAGGAAGGGGGCTGGTAGGCGGTGTGCTGACACACAACACACCACGACGAGGGACCCTGTCATGGGGTGGGGGAGACGTGGGGCATGGGAAAGGAGTGCAGCGAAGGAGAGGGATATGAGCATCGAAGGAAGGGGGCTGGTAGGCGGTGTGCTGACACACAACACACCACGACGAGGGACCCTGTCATGGGGTGGGGGAGACGTGGGGCATGGGAAAGGAGTGCAGCGAAGGAGAGGGATATGAGCATCGAAGGAAGGGGGCTGGTAGGCGGTGTGCTGACACACAACACACCACGACGAGGGACCCTGTCATGGGGTGGGGGAGACGTGGGGCATGGGAAAGGAGTGCAGCGAAGGAGAGGGATATGAGCATCGAAGGAAGGGGGCTGGTAGGCAGTGTGCTGACACACAACACACCACGACGAGGGACCCTGTGGATGGGGGAAGACGTGGGAAACAGGAAAGGAGATGGAAGGGAGAGAGTGGAATATGAGCGGAGGGGGGGGCTGGTAGGCGGTGTGCTGACACACAACACACCACGACGAGAGGCCCTGCAAATGGGGGATACAAGGGAGGAGACGTGGGAAACAGGAAAGGAGAGGGAAGGTAGAGAGTGGCATATAAGGAAAGAGGGCAGGGTGATAGGCGTGCTGACACACAACACCCCAAGATGAGTACTGGCCATACCCTACAATCTCTCCCAACCCCTCTCAATCCCTCCTCATGCCTCACCTGCGGGGCGCACTTGCTGCAGTGGTAGTGCCCGCATGCCAGCTGCATGGTGTAGGCCGCTTCTGGGGGAGGGCGCATCCAGGGAGGCGGGCAACAGGACCCTTCTACACCTACCCAACCGCTCTAAACCCCTCTCTTCTCACCTGCGGGGCGCACTTGCTGCAGTGGTAGTGCCCGCACGCCAGCTGCATGGTATAGGCCGCTTCTGGGGGAGGGCGCATCCGGGAAAGGCAGGCAACGCGCAGGGGAGAGATGATTAGAGAAGTGAAACAGGAGTAAGAACAGGTGACACAGCATGAGTGGGCGTGACAGGAGAATCAATGGGGGCAGGGACACACTCATGGCTCTTCTCACCAGAGCAGGAATCACAGGTGTGGCCCCACGCGCTCGCCACCACCCTCCCATGTCCCACAACCTCCGCACCCGCACCTGCCACGACCCCACACAGGAGACAGGCGAATGGCTGTCCTTACTTACCAGAGCAGGAATCGCAGGTGTGACCCCACACGCTCGCCACCACCCTCCCATGCTCCTCCTGCGGCTGCGGCTGCTGCTGCTGCGGCTGTGTATCCCCCATACTGAGTTCCCCCATGGAAGTAGTTAGCTGCGGCGTTGAGTCCCCAGGGGCTGCCTCTGCCCCCTCTGCGTGACCCCACAGGGACGACGAGCCTGAGACGTGCTGTTGCTGCTGCTGCTGCTGCTGCTGCTGCTGCTGTATAGAGCTGACAGGGGGGAAGGCACTTGCAGAAAACGGAGCAGCAGGAGCAAGGGAGGAGGCAACGCTAACACCAGAAACCCCTCCGAACGAGGCGCGACGGGTGGAAGCAGGCAGAATATGCTGATGCTGAATATGAAGATGATCAAGCGGAAGGGGAGGTGGAGGAGGAGGGGGAGGGACAAGAGCGGTTGAAAGCGACGGGTTGAAGAACCGAGAGAGGGCGGCAGAGGACGCAGAGGAAGCAGACGAAGGAACGGCTTCCGGGCGGTCTGCGTCGTCCCATGCTGCGGCGGAGCCCGCTGTGAGCGCAGCAGCGGGCGGCAGGCGGTCTTGATTCTTGTCTCTCATGGTGGCACTGGTGGTGCTGGCAGTGCTTGTCATTAGGGGCGACGTGAAGGGGCTGTCTGGCAGAAGCGAGTGCAGATCGCTGCAGGAACGGAACGGGGGGAAAGGCAGGAGAGAGGAATGAATGAGTATTTGATTTGTTTATACGAAACTTGTGGTGCTGGCCGTGCTGGTCATTAGGGGCGACCGGAAGGGGCTGTCTGGCAGAAGAGTGTGCAGATCGCTGCAGGGTGGAAGAAGAGAGGAAAGAGGGGAATACAGGGGGGAGAGAAGGGGGGGAAGCGCGAATGAGCCCTTGAATGACGCGTTGCTGGCAGTGCTGGTCCACAAGGGGCGAGGTGAAGAGGGTGTGCGGGAGAAGCGAGTGCAGATCACTGGCGGGTGCAAGGGGAATACAGGGGGGAGGGTGGAGGGGAAGAGCGAATGAGCCTTTGAATGACCCGTTGCTGGCAGTGCTGGTCCACAAGGGCGAGGTGAAGGGGGCTGTCTTTTGAGGCGCCTCAAAATGCACCTCACTACGCGAGGTGAAGGGCTGTCTGGCAGAAGCGAGTGCAGATCGCTGAGGAAACAACAAAGAGGGGGGAGGGGTGAGAAAACAAATGAGCCAGAGAAACGGAGTGAAAGTGGAGCAGCAAAAGCAGGGCGAGAGCGAGGAGAGGGAGGGAGGGCAGCAGAGAGGAGCGACGGAGGGAGGAGCGAGCGAGAAAGGGAGGAGCGAGCTAGGGAGGGAGGGAGGAGCTTACAAGACGTCATCGAGCTGCCGGTGTGTGGGTGTTTGAGGAAGGCCCTCGGGTCCTGCATCGCCTGATGGGGACGCGACAACAAGGGGAGACACACGCAGGCCGGGAAAAAAGGGAACGGAAAAAGGTAAGTTGCATCACAAGACGTCCTCGAGCGTGTGGGTGTTTGAGGAAGACCCTCGAGTCCTGCATCGCCTTGTGGGGACGCAACAAGAAGGGGAGACACACGCAGGAGGAAACGCAGCAGGGGGAGAGACGGGCGGGGGGGACGAACAGGCGTGAGTTGCCTTGTAAGGCGTCAATGCGTTGCCATAGCCGGGGAGAGGGGAAAGGAACCAGAACAGTGAAGATATTAATATACATCGTGGGGAAAGTGGGCTTTAGTGGCGGTCACGGTGCTGGTGGCGGTGGTGCCATAGCCGGGGAGAGAGGAGAGGGAGGAGGCGAAGCTAAAAGAGTGCTCCATGGGAGTTCGAGCAGAAGGGAAACCAGACTATGCACTCACCGTGGGGGAAGTGGGCTGTAGTGCCGGTCACGGCGAAGGAGAAAGAGGGATCCATGGGAGCGCGAGCAGAGGCGAATCCGGACGTTGCACTCACCGTGTGTGAACTGGGCTGTAGTGCCGGTGGCGGTGGCGCCATAGCCCGGAAGAGAGGAGAGAGACGAGAGGGAGGAGGAGGCGAAGGAGAAAGAGGGATCCATGGGAGTGCGAGCAGAGGCGAATCCGGTCAACCCCGACGAAATGGAGGAGGAGAAGGAGGAGGAGAAAGAGGAAGAAGCGAGGCTGAGATGGGACGGCTTGAAGAAATGCTCATCCACGCCTCCTCCCGCTCCCCCTACGGTCCCCATGCCCCCCATGCCGCCCACGCCGCCCACGCCTCCCATTCCCCCCACGCCCCTTGCGCCGCGCAAGGCATCCACGTCACTGCCGGAAAACGCACGTCCCACGTCTCCCAGGGCGATCCCGCCGAGCCCTAGGGATTGCCGAGAGTTCTCCTCCTGCTGCTGCTGCCACTGCTGCAGCCGCTGCCGCACCTGCCACTGCCCCTCGCTTGCCCCCTGCTGCTGCTGCTGTTCCTCTTGCCGCTGCTGCTGCTGCTGCTGCAGCCGCACCTGCCACTGCTCGTGCCCTCCCAGCTGCTCCTCTTGATACTGCTGTTGGTGGTGGTGGTAGTGCTGCTGCTGCTGCTGCTGCTGATGCTGCCACGCATGCCGCGGAAGCTGCTGCGAAGCTGCCTCCCGAAACGACAGTGACTGATACAGGCTCTTGCGCCTGGGCGGTGTGTCATATACAGCCGCAGAAGCAGCTGCAGCCGCAGCTGCAACAGCCGCTGAAGACGGCGAATACGCAGAGGAGAACGACAGAGAGGCGGACGCAGACGCAGACGCATAGATAGAGGAGGGGGTACGAGCGTAGGGAGAGGAAACGGCAAAGGGCGATACACCAGTGGCACCACCCGGAGCGCCAGCAGCAGCAGCGGCGGCGGCCGCGGCAGGCGAAGGGGAAGGGGAGGGAGACGGGGAGCCGTATTGCGACGATTCGTATGAGGCTGACACGTGGTGGTGGTGAATCGAACGGCTGTGATCGCTCCCCCACCCGCCTTCCAGACGAGATTGCTGCTGCGACAGCAGCTGACGCTGCTGCTGCTGCTGCTGCGGGTCGAGCGGTTGCTGCTGCTGCTTCCCTTGCTGTATTGGTTGTTGCTCCTCACCCTCCTCTGCTTGCTGCTGCTGCTGCGGTGGCGGCGGTTGCGGTTGGTGCTGACGTGGCTGCTGCAGCGGCCGCTGCTGCGGCTGCTGAAGCGCGTTCTTCGCTGGAAAGAGTCGCTTCGACACCTTGGGAATGGGCGGCGGGGGGGAATCGTCTGTAACACGCGAAACAGAGACAGCACAAAATTATAACAGAGATAACACACGTGAGTAATGTACAAAAAGAGTGATATAAAAGCGTTAACAGGCGAGACAGAATTGAAATAGATGTGATAGCTGACGCTAACGAGAATGGTTATAACAACATTGTACTGTAGAAGGGTACAACTGTAATACACCGTACCTGAATACGACTCCATGGCGCCTTTCGCGGGCGACACCTGCGCGCCGCGGTCCGCCCCAACGCGCGTCTTCCGCTCCGCGTTCCCGTGCGCGGTGGCGGCGCTGCCATGGCGCGATTTCTCGCGGTACGGCTTGACGAGGACGCGCGAGCCGCCGATGTGGTGCGGGTTACCCTCCTCGAGAATCGCTTTCACGCTGTGCGCGAACGCGAACGTGACGAATCCGAACATGCGCTTCTGCTGATGCGGCACGCGCACCTCGTGGACTGGCCCGAACTTGCTGCGCGGGGGACGGGGGAAGAGAGGGGGAAGAGGTAGAGGGAAAGATTAGGGGGAGCGAACCCGAACGTGCGCTTCTGCTGGTGCGGCACGCGCACCTCGTGCACGGGGCCGAACTTGCTGCGCGCCGGGCAGAGAAAGGCGGGGGAAGGGAAAGGGGGAGAGGTTGGGTGTAGGAGTAAGCAGAGGGAAGATAGAAGGGGGGAAATGGCGGCGGGGGGGGGAGAGAAATTAAGCCCAGATAGAAGGGGGAAGAGAGATGTGCTCTACGGCTGCCACGTGTACCTGAAATGAGCTGCCACGTCATCCTCCGTGAACGTGCTCTCGGCGGGAAAAGTGAGATAAATCTGCCGCGACCCCGGACTTGGCGGCGCCAAATCCGCTCGCTCCTTGAACGTTATAAACTTTTTAGATTCCTCCAGAATCGGCGACCCCTTGAGAACTATCGCGCGCTGCCCGCTCGGCCTATCGACGAACGCGATCGACGATTTCATCTGCGCGAGTAACTTAGTTAGACTTAGTCCGGGCCGCCCCTGCCGCTGGCTCTCAGTTAGGTACCCCTCCGCTTGCAACGGCTTCCCGAACCGCTCCGCGTATAGCTGTGGAAGCGATGCCACGTGGATAAGCCCCTTGTGCTCTCTAAGCAACTCGTGAAGCTCCGCCTCGAGCCGCTCCAGCGTGAAACCCGCCGCAGATCCCGGGCTGCCGCCCACGAGCCCGCCAGCAACAGTCCCGGCCACACCACCACCGCTACCGTCGCCGCCACCGCCGCCGCCGGTTGCGGCGGTGCTGCCAGCAAATGAATCTCCACCATCACCGCCGTTCCCGCTGGCGTTACTGGCATCACCACCAGTTTCGTCGCCGCCGCCGCCGCTCGCGGCCGTGCAGCTCAAAGCAGCAGTCTCTTCCGCGCCTTGCGGCTCGGGGTACGTCGCAGCCGCCATCATGCCGTCCGAACTCGTCGCACTGGGCGACCCCGGCGACGACACGGGCGCCGTCGCCGACTGGCCGTGCGACGCGTGCAGGAAGCGACACGCGCTTCCGTGCTTGCAGAATCCGCGTGCGAAATAATGGCATCGCTTGAACATGAAAGACTGCGAACTCTCAGGCGACGAGCCGTAGTCGCTCGCAGCGCCACTTGCGCCGTGAAGTGCGGTCAGATGGGGAATCGCTGGGGCATCCGTGGGGATTGGTCGCGCTCCCGCCGGAGCAGCAGCAGCATCTCCGGGAGCAACAGCGGCGGCGGCAGAGTCGGTTGGTTCAGCGAGGGGCGTATTGGGGGAGAGCGACGCGAGGGCTGTTTCCGTTGGGGAAGAGAAACGGTCGGAATGAGGAAACCTGGCGCGGAAAACGGGAAAGAGAGAAGAGAGAGAGAAAAAAAAATCCAACCGAGAAAAATAAGAAAATAAAAACAAAAAGACAACGGGACGAGCATGCCATGGTAAGTTGTAGGGGCCACGGGAAGTTCAGGGGGGAGGTTGACAGAGCTGGCAGGTTGAAAGAGAAGTGAAAATGAACGGGACAAGTGGCGCGGACCGGGAAAGAAAAAAGAAAAACTTAAAAAAAAAAAAACAAAAAAAAAAACAAATAAGTCGCTGCGGTTTGAGAAATTGAATGGTAATCCAAAAACAGAAGATGATAAGTACCTGTCTGTGGAAGCCGGGTAAGCCTGGTGAGCGAAGGACTGAGCGGCGGCGGTTCGTTGTCGCGCAACGCACGCCGCGCTCTCCTGTTGAAGCCGGATTTCCGCCAGAACCCCCTGTAGCGCACCCCCAATGCACGCCCCCCCAGGCAGAATAACAAAACACGGCTTTAGAACGGTCTCGCGGATTAAAGCTTAATCGCCTGCCACGATTTACTGGCACCGAGATTTCGGGGCTCCAGTTTCCGTGCCAAAAAGAAGAAAAACACGAGAAACGCGAGAGAAAACGGAAAAGGTGGACTAAGGGGTCAACTGGTGGTGACATCCTCGTAAGGACGAGCACACACTAAGAATTCGCTTCGTAGACCCAACGGACATGACTTTCGAGGCGCGTCAAAAGGGAAAGCCCGCGTACCTGGTGTTGCCATCCCGGTATGGACGAGTACACGCTGAGGTTCCGCTTCGCGATCCCAATGGCCGACGTGAGCTGCGCGTCGGAGCCTTTCGCGAGCGCCGCTAGGTCCTGGTCAGCATTCTCGCGCATGAGCATCCACCCGAGTAGCTTCGACGCGTTGCCTCCTTCGAGTGTCTGCAGTCGAGAGTAGAGGATTTTGGACGCTTCTTGAATGTCCATCTAAAGGCCCATGCGTGTTAGCACGCGGGAAACCTGGTGTTATCGGTTCTGGTCAACATGTCGCCATTGCATTTGCAGAGGCTGACAAGAAAAAATCTAGGTATTAACGCACTAAATTTTGTAACGCGGAACGACCGGCCTAACGAGCTAGCGAAACCCTAGCAGCACCATTAGCGGAGGCAGGTAGGCAGTTCTATTAGACCTCTAATCCTTGCCCGTGGGAGCAAGTCGTTGACGCAGAGGGAGGGACACTTCTGGGGCCTTTTGGGCCTTCCGCTTCGTTTCCTCGCTGCTGCTGCTTTTCTCTCTCCTGTTCTACGCTCTGCTTGTCTGCTCTGGTCGTCTCGCCTGTTGAGTGTGCGTCGCTAGGTTGACTTTTCGCACGCACTCCGCGCACGTTCCGCAGTGGCCTCTGGTTTACCGGCGACGTCTCCTTTCTCTTTTAGGTAATGTGGGGCGGAGCGGAACAAATTGCGAGCTAACCGAGATTCAAATTCGTGTGACGGACTGATCAGGTCAGGAGTAGTTGTGGGAGTTTGAAAGGTCAGGCGCTCAGAAAAACTCCGCTCCACTCAGAAGCTTCTTTTTGTTTCATTTCGGGCAAGATCACCATTTCTCACTGCGCTTGGCTGCCCGTTTTGGGGTAAGCCACACGCGGAAGGGATTCAGAGCTGCGTGCAACCATTGCGACGGGTTCCGCAGATGAGGGTTTCAAGATATTGCGGGCGGAACGTGCTGGCTCGCGCGGACGAATGAGCTTGCGCCAGCGTGCTCCAAGCAGGTGCCGCCGCGACAGTACGAGGAGCGGCCGCAGCGCTGCCCGCCCATTCGCAGGGCAGACCGAGAGAACACATGCCCCTCCGTGCAGCACTCTCGCAGCAGCCGAAGCGAGTCGCATTAGAGGTGACCACGAGGGACATGCCCACAAGACGATGCCGTGGGGCATGGGTCGCACGTATGGTGTTGGCGACGCCGATGTGTCGCATGGTCACTGATGTGCTGGTCACGTCGAGGTGAGGGGTCAACAACCAATGAAGCAACGGGAGGATGCTTCACAAGCGATGGGCAAACCACATCTGTTGCCATCGCATCGTGCCGTACGATGAGCCTGAAAATATCGCACAGCCAAGTTCCACCTAGAAGCACGCACTGCTCTCTTTGGTGACCAATTACGCGAGTGATTGATGTCGCACTGACTGTCAGCATGACGTGCGCTGCAAGTGTTTTGCAGCTGTCTTTATAATAAGCACCTCGATTGAGATCTAGTGGAGGAAATAAACTAATTTCTATTACTCCCAGAGTTTGCCATACCGAAACATAAATCAATCAGCACTAGTGGTGGTATACAAATGCAAGGCTGACTCAATGAGCAATTTGCAGTTGTCACTGACTGAAATTATTAATACCTTTATTATGTTTCAAGAAAATAGGAGAAATTAACTGATGCTTCTTGAAGAATTCTCTAAAACCATAAGTGCTAACGTCATAGTTGTACTGCATTTGTCAAAATCCACGAAAAGGGGAAAAGGGGAAAATGGAAATAAGGCAAATGATAGTAACCACAGAGATGCAAAGGACGTAATAAAGGCCAGCGACACAGCGGCAAAACCAGTCCTTTCAACAAACGAGACGAATATGGACAGCTATGTTACAAGCACTTACCATACAAGAAGCAGGAAAACAACTAGGTCGCTACTAGAAGAAAATCATACATTGGACCAGCATAGGTTACCAGATACAGACCATACTTCATATGACTTACAGGCAGAACCATGACACTGTAGCGAACCACTCCTGCTGCTCCTGTAGCTCCGCCCGCAGGGGGAGTCGGGTCCCGCTGCGGCTGCGCCTCTTTCGAGTTATAGAAGACCTCTATAAAGGGGTAGTCCTTGCGCTGTCGAGCGATGCAGAAGCCAAGGTGCTTGGGGCAATCCACCTGCCGGTAATGTCACGAGACATGACACATACATGCCAGCAGCCATGTCAGAAGCCATGCCATCAGAGAGAGTTGTGATTTGAGTCGACTCAAAACACACAAGGGGTAGTCCTTGCGCTGTCAAGCGATGCAGAAGCCAAGGTGCTTGGGGCAATCCACCTGCCGGTAATGCCACCAGTCATGCCACACACATGCCAGCAGCCATGCCGGCAGCAATGCCACCAGCCATGCCATCAAACATCCCAGCAGCCATGCCAGCAGAGAGTGTAGTGATTTGAGTCGACTCAAAACACACAAGGGGTAGTCCTTGCGCTGCCGGGCAATGCAGAAGCCAAGGTGCCTGGGGCAATCCACCTGCCAGCAGCCATGCCAGCAGCCATGCCAGAAAGCCATGTTCTTGAGCTGCAAAAAGCAACACACAGGAGAATGCGAGGCTCCATGTGCCTCATTGTGCGATCGTCGCGCCAAGGAGGTGACTTTTGATCGACTCAAAAGTCACCAACATAGAGGAGAATGCGAGGCTCCATGTGCCTCATCGTGCGATCGTCGCGCCAAGGAGGTGACTTTTGATCGACTCAAAAGTCACCAACATAGAGGAGAATGCGAGGCTCCATGTGCCTCATCGTGCGATCGTCGCGCCAAGGAGGTGACTTTTGATCGACTCAAAAGTCACCAACATAGAGGAGAATGCGAGGCTCCATGTGCCTCATCGTGCGATCGTCAAGCCAAGGAGGTGACTTTTGATCGACTCCAAAGTCACCAACATAGAGGAGAATGCGAGGCTCCATGTGCCTCATTGTGCGATCGTCAAGCCAAGGAGGTGACTTTTGATCGACTCAAAAGTCACCAACATAGAGGAGAATGCGAGGCTCCATGTGCCTCATTGTGCGATCGTCGCGCTAAGGAGGTGACTTTTGATCGACTCAAAAGTCACCAACATAGAGGAGAATGCGAGGCTCCATGTGCCTCATTGTGCGATCGTCAAGCCAAGGAGCCACGAGAGAGAATAGAGGTTTTAAAAGGACGGGCAGTGACTGCAGGCACGCCTGTGCGTGACTGCCATGCCATGATCATCAGCGCACAGAGCAGGTTGCATGGGGAGCAGCATGATGGGGGGAGCAGCACGATGGGGGGAGCAGCATGGGGAGAGCATGGGGGAAGCAGCATGGGGGGAGTGGCATTGGAGGAAGCAGCAGCATGGGGGGAGCAGCATGGGGGGAGCAGCATGGGGGGAGCAGCATGGGGGGAGCAGCATGGGGGGAGCAGCATGGGGGAAGCAGCATAGGGGGAGCAGCACGGGGGAAGCAGCATGGGGGGAGCAGCATGGGGAGAGCATGGGGGAAGCAGCATGGGGGGAGTGGCATTGGAGGAAGCAGCAGCATGGGGGGAGCAGCATGGGGGGAGCAGCATGGGGGGAGCAGCATGGGGGGAGCAGCATGGGGGGAGCAGGATGGGGGGAGCAGCATGGGGGAAGCAGCATGGGGGGAGCAGCACGGGGGAAGCAGCATGGGGGGAGCAGCATGGGGGGAGCAGCATGGGGGATGCAGCATGGGGGAAGCAGCATGGGGGAAGCAGCATGGTGGGAGCAGCATGGGGGGAGCAGCATGGGGGGAGCAGCATGGGGGGAGCAGCATGGAGGATGCAGCATGGGGGATGCAGCATGGGGGGAGCAGCATGGTGGGAAGCAGCATGGGGGGAGCAGCATGGGGGATGCAGCATGGGGGGAGCAGCATGGGGGGAGCAGCATGGGGGAAGCAGCATGGGGGAAGCAGCATGGGGAAGCAGCATGGGGGAAGCAGCATGGGGGAAGCAGCATGGGGGAAGCAGCATGGGGGAAGCAGCATGGGGGAAGCAGCATGGGGGAAGCAGCATGGGGGAAGCAGCATGGGGGAAGCAGCATGGGGGAAGCAGCATGGGGGAAGCAGCATGGGGGAAGCAGCATGGGGGAAGCAGCATGGGGGAAGCAGCATGGGGGAAGCAGCATGGGGGAAGCAGCATGGGGGAAGCAGCATGGGGGAAGCAGCATGGGGGAAGCAGCATGGGGGAAGCAGCATGGGGGAAGCAGCATGGGGGAAGCAGCATGGGGGAAGCAGCATGGGGGAAGCAGCATGGGGGAAGCAGCATGGGGGAAGCAGCATGGGGGAAGCAGCATGGGGGAAGCAGCATGGGGGAAGCAGCATGGGGGAAGCAGCATGGGGGAAGCAGCATGGGGGAAGCAGCATGGGGGAAGCAGCATGGGGGAAGCAGCATGGGGGAAGCAGCATGGGGGAAGCAGCATGGGGGAAGCAGCATGGGGGAAGCAGCATGGGGGAAGCAGCATGGGGGAAGCAGCATGGGGGAAGCAGCATGGGGGAAGCAGCATGGGGGAAGCAGCATGGGGGAAGCAGCATGGGGGAAGCAGCATGGGGGAAGCAGCATGGGGGAAGCAGCATGGGGGAAGCAGCATGGGGGAAGCAGCATGGGGGAAGCAGCATGGGGGAAGCAGCATGGGGGAAGCAGCATGGGGGAAGCAGCATGGGGGAAGCAGCATGGGGGAAGCAGCATGGGGGAAGCAGCATGGGGGAAGCAGCATGGGGGAAGCAGCATGGGGGAAGCAGCATGGGGGAAGCAGCATGGGGGAAGCAGCATGGGGGAAGCAGCATGGGGGAAGCAGCATGGGGGAAGCAGCATGGGGGAAGCAGCATGGGGGAAGCAGCATGGGGGAAGCAGCATGGGGGAAGCAGCATGGGGGAAGCAGCATGGGGGAAGCAGCATGGGGGAAGCAGCATGGGGAAGCAGCATGGGGGAAGCAGCATGGGGGAAGCAGCATGGGGGAAGCAGCATGGGGGAAGCAGCATGGGGGAAGCAGCATGGGGGAAGCAGCATGGGGGAAGCAGCATGGGGGAAGCAGCATGGGGGAAGCAGCATGGGGGAAGCAGCATGGGGGAAGCAGCATGGGGGAAGCAGCATGGGGGAAGCAGCATGGGGGAAGCAGCATGGGGGAAGCAGCATGGGGGAAGCAGCATGGGGAAGCAGCATGGGGGAAGCAGCATGGGGGAAGCAGCATGGGGGAAGCAGCATGGGGGAAGCAGCATGGGGAAGCAGCATGGGGGAAGCAGCATGGGGGAAGCAGCATGGGGGAAGCAGCATGGGGGAAGCAGCATGGGGGAAGCAGCATGGGGGAAGCAGCATGGGGGAAGCAGCATGGGGGAAGCAGCATGGGGAAGCAGCATGGGGGAAGCAGCATGGGGGAAGCAGCATGGGGGAAGCAGCATGGGGGAAGCAGCATGGGGGAAGCAGCATGGGGGAAGCAGCATGGGGGAAGCAGCATGGGGGAAGCAGCATGGGGGAAGCAGCATGGGGGAAGCAGCATGGGGGAAGCAGCATGGGGGAAGCAGCATGGGGGAAGCAGCATGGGGGAAGCAGCATGGGGGAAGCAGCATGGGGGAAGCAGCATGGGGGAAGCAGCATGGGGGAAGCAGCATGGGGGAAGCAGCATGGGGGAAGCAGCATGGGGGAAGCAGCATGGGGGAAGCAGCATGGGGGAAGCAGCATGGGGGAAGCAGCATGGGGGAAGCAGCATGGGGGAAGCAGCATGGGGGAAGCAGCATGGGGGAAGCAGCATGGGGGAAGCAGCATGGGGGAAGCAGCATGGGGGAAGCAGCATGGGGGAAGCAGCATGGGGGAAGCAGCATGGGGGAAGCAGCATGGGGGAAGCAGCATGGGGGAAGCAGCATGGGGGAAGCAGCATGGGGGAAGCAGCATGGGGGAAGCAGCATGGGGGAAGCAGCATGGGGGAAGCAGCATGGGGGAAGCAGCATGGGGGAAGCAGCATGGGGGAAGCAGCATGGGGGAAGCAGCATGGGGGAAGCAGCATGGGGGAAGCAGCATGGGGGAAGCAGCATGGGGGAAGCAGCATGGGGGAAGCAGCATGGGGGAAGCAGCATGGGGGAAGCAGCATGGGGGAAGCAGCATGGGGGAAGCAGCATGGGGGAAGCAGCATGGGGGAAGCAGCATGGGGGAAGCAGCATGGGGGAAGCAGCATGGGGGAAGCAGCATGGGGGAAGCAGCATGGGGGAAGCAGCATGGGGGAAGCAGCATGGGGGAAGCAGCATGGGGGAAGCAGCATGGGGGAAGCAGCATGGGGGAAGCAGCATGGGGGAAGCAGCATGGGGGAAGCAGCATGGGGGAAGCAGCATGGGGGAAGCAGCATGGGGGAAGCAGCATGGGGGAAGCAGCATGGGGGAAGCAGCATGGGGGAAGCAGCATGGGGGAAGCAGCATGGGGGAAGCAGCATGGGGGAAGCAGCATGGGGGAAGCAGCATGGGGGAAGCAGCATGGGGGAAGCAGCATGGGGGAAGCAGCATGGGGGATGCAGCATGGGGGAAGCAGCATGGGGGATGCAGCATGGGGGAAGCAGCATGGGGGATGCAGCATGGGGGAGGCAGCATGGGGGAAGCAGCATGGGGGAAGCAGCATGGGGGAAGCAGCATGGGGGAAGCAGCATGGGGGAAGCAGCATGGGGGAAGCAGCATGGGGGAAGCAGCATGGGGGAAGCAGCATGGGGGAAGCAGCATGGGGGAAGCAGCATGGGGGAAGCAGCATGGGGGAAGCAGCATGGGGGAAGCAGCATGGGGGAAGCAGCATGGGGGAAGCAGCATGGGGGAAGCAGCATGGGGGAAGCAGCATGGGGGAAGCAGCATGGGGGAAGCAGCATGGGGGAAGCAGCATGGGGGAAGCAGCATGGGGGAAGCAGCATGGGGGAAGCAGCATGGGGGAAGCAGCATGGGGGAAGCAGCATGGGGGAAGCAGCATGGGGGAAGCAGCATGGGGGAAGCAGCATGGGGGAAGCAGCATGGGGGATGCAGCATGGGGGAAGCAGCATGGGGGATGCAGCATGGGGGATGCAGCATGGGGGAAGCAGCATGGGGGAAGCAGCATGGGGGAAGCAGCATGGGGGAAGCAGCATGGGGGAAGCAGCATGGGGGAAGCAGCATGGGGGAAGCAGCGTGGGGGAAGCAGCATGGGGGAAGCAGCATGGGGGAAGCAGCATGGGGGAAGCAGCATGGGGGAAGCAGCATGGGGGAAGCAGCATGGGGGAAGCAGCATGGGGGATGCAGCATGGGGGAAGCAGCATGGGGGAAGCAGCATGGGGGAAGCAGCATGGGGGAAGCAGCATGGGGGATGCAGCATGGGGGAAGCAGCATGGGGGATGCAGCATGGGGGATGCAGCATGGGGGAAGCAGCATGGGGGAAGCAGCATGGGGGAAGCAGCATGGGGGATGCAGCGGATGCAGCATGGGGGAAGCAGCATGGGGGAAGCAGCATGGGGGAAGCAGCATGGGGGAAGCAGCATGGGGGAAGCAGCATGGGGGAAGCAGCATGGGGGAAGCAGCATGGGGGAAGCAGCCATGGGGGAAGCAGCATGGGGGAAGCAGCATGGGGGATGCAGCATGGGGGAAGCAGCATGGGGGAAGCAGCATGGGGGAAGCAGCATGGGGGAAGCAGCATGGGGGAAGCAGCATGGGGGAAGCAGCATGGGGGAAGCAGCATGGGGGAATGCAGCATGGGGGAAGCAGCATGGGGGAATGCAGCATGGGGGAAGCAGCATGGGGGAATGCAGCATGGGGGAAGCAGCATGGGGGAAGGGAAGCAGCATGGGGGAAGCAGCATGGGGGAAGCAGCATGGGGGAAGCAGCATGGGGGAAGCAGCATGGGGGAAGCAGCATGGGGGAAGCAGCATGGGGGAAGCAGCATGGGGGAAGCAGCATGGGGGAAGCAGCATGGGGGAAGCAGCATGGGGGAAGCAGCATGGGGGAAGCAGCATGGGGGAAGCAGCATGGGGGAAGCAGCATGGGGGAAGCAGCATGGGGGAAGCAGCATGGGGGAAGCAGCATGGGGGAAGCAGCATGGGGGAAGCAGCATGGGGGAAGCAGCATGGGGGAAGCAGCATGGGGGAAGCAGCATGGGGGAAGCAGCATGGGGGAAGCAGCATGGGGAAGCAGCATGGGGGAAGCAGCATGGGGGAAGCAGCATGGGGGAAGCAGCATGGGGGAAGCAGCATGGGGGAAGCAGCATGGGGGAAGCAGCATGGGGGAAGCAGCATGGGGGAAGCAGCATGGGGGAAGCAGCATGGGGGAAGCAGCATGGGGGAAGCAGCATGGGGGAAGCAGCATGGGGGAAGCAGCATGGGGGAAGCAGCATGGGGGAAGCAGCATGGGGGAAGCAGCATGGGGGAAGCAGCATGGGGGAAGCAGCATGGGGGAAGCAGCATGGGGGAAGCAGCATGGGGGAAGCAGCATGGGGGAAGCAGCATGGGGGAAGCAGCATGGGGGAAGCAGCATGGGGGAAGCAGCATGGGGGAAGCAGCATGGGGGAAGCAGCATGGGGGAAGCAGCATGGGGGAAGCAGCATGGGGGAAGCAGCATGGGGGAAGCAGCATGGGGGAAGCAGCATGGGGGAATGCAGCATGGGGGAAGCAGCATGGGGGAAGCAGCATGGGGGAAGCAGCATGGGGGAAGCAGCATGGGGGAAGCAGCATGGGGGAAGCAGCATGGGGGAAGCAGCATGGGGGAAGCAGCATGGGGGAAGCAGCATGGGGGAAGCAGCATGGGGGAAGCAGCATGGGGGAAGCAGCATGGGGGAAGCAGCATGGGGGAAGCAGCATGGGGGAAGCAGCATGGGGGAAGCAGCATGGGGGAAGCAGCATGGGGAAGCAGCATGGGGAAGCAGCATGGGGGAAGCAGCATGGGGGAAGCAGCATGGGGGAAGCAGCATGGGGGAAGCAGCATGGTTGAGCGGCATGCGGTGCAGCATGGGTGGAGCAGCATAAGCGGCATTGGGTGAGCAGCATAATTACTCGGATAAAGTTGACATGCGGGTGGAGGTCAGCCGACGCTTGTCGAAACATCTCGTCAAAGTGACGCGTGTGTGCACAGCTGCCGGGCGGAAAGGAGAGGGCAGAGGAGGAAGACGCAAATATGACTTTTCGAAATTCTTGCATGTGTGCCACAGAGACAAGGGCGGGAAGAGGAGGAAAGCACAGGAACACGAAGAGGGCTTATAAGCGAATGCGAGAAGAGTTCCAGAAATATATCAGACGTGAACACCGAAGCGCTTGCGTTGAGAAGTGAGAATCTCTGAGTCCCCAAAAATGTCAAAACCGCTTTAAGTTGACTCAATCCGATCCGTTACCTCCGGGACGAACGAGGAAACGCTGCTGAGGATACAGGGGGAAGGGTGGTAGAGCCAGCCAGTGCATGCTCAGCACACGCCTGTCTGAATCAGCACACGCCTGTCAGAATCAGCACACGCCTGTCTGAAGGTGAATGCCACGGCGAACGGCTTCCCCTGCTGCAGCAGCGACACAAACTGCCCACCCACACCTGCCTGCCTGATGAAACAGAAGAAATCCCTCTGCAATCAGACTCGCCTGATACGCCAGACTCACGAAAAGGTGCAAGCCACGGCCACTAGCTTCCCTTGCTGCAGCGCCGACACGAACTGGCCACCCACAGCAGTGGCATCACCTACGTTTCTGGTGCGTTTCAGCGGCACCAAGCCAGTGGCACCACACAAAGGTGAAGGTGCGAATAAGGCACGTGAGAAACTCAAGGGCACTCACGAAAAGGTGAAGGCCACGGCCACTGTCGTCCCCTGCTGCAGCAGCGACACCAACTGCCCTGCCCACCCACAACTGTCTGGCCTGCTGCAGTATTGGGACCTCGTGCCAAACTCGTGCCAAACTCGTGCCAAACTCGTGCCAAACTCGTGCCAAACTCGTGCCAAACTCGTGCCAAACTCGTGCCAAACTCGTGCCAAACTCGTGCCAAACTCGTGCCAAACTCGTGCCAAACTCGTGCCAAACTCGTGCCAAACTCGTGCCAAACTCGTGCCAAACTCGTGCCAAACTCGTGCCAAACTCGTGCCGAACTCGTGCCAAACTCCCCTAATACGCCAGACTCACGAAAAGGTGAAGGCCACGGCGACCGGCTTCCCCTGCTGCAGCAGCGACACAAACTGCCTCTCGGATCGGAACTCCACCACCCGAGCCTCCACGCGAGGCTTGAGAAGGCCCGTGTAATACCTGAGAGGGGACAATTGAGGTGGTTCGGCACAGGTATCGCCTTTTTCAGATGGAATTGCACCACGTGAGGCCTGGGCTTGCCAGGGGGCTTCTCAAGCCAAGGAGCGGGGGGGGGAGCGCGTGAGGGGGGAGGAGAGGGTGAATGTAGTTCCAGGAAAGTGTCGCCGCGCAACCTCCCCCTCCCCTTTCCCCCAACCCATCTTCCCCACCATTCCCCCAACCCACTCTCCTCCCCCCCACCACACACCTGCATGTCTCCTCCAGCTTTCCCCACAGCGTTGCGCCTCCGCCTGTGCTCTGCGGATCCCCGCCGTCGTCGCGGGAACCCATCCGCTTCCCACCGCGCGTTAGCGACTACTGGCGTTCAAGGCGTCCCGCGTTTGCGACTGCAGGCGTTCAAGGCGTCGCGCGTTTGCGACTGCTGGCGTTCAAGACGTCGTACGGTGCTTTCGATAGAGTGTACCAATTCTGCCTTATAACCGCCCCCGTCCTCGCTAGTCAAGCTGCTCTAGGCGTTACCGAGTCGCGTCCTGGTTAAACCAAAAACAGATTCCAATCAGCAAAAATTACTAGAGACACCGATAATTCGAAGAGTCTTGGCAAAAAGTCTTGCCTAATTTTCCTCGTCAGCCGAACCTTGGTTTCCCCGAGCACAGCGCATCGAGTCACCGAGTCACCGAAATGGTACGATTTCAGAACTGATATGTGTGCAAAAGAAACCGCAGCGCAAGGCGACCAAGGCATGGTTGCGCAGCACAAAGAATTCAGGAAACGTACAAACACTAGGGTTGTGGTGGTACGTCCAGCCCCGACGAGTCCAAAGTCTACTTTAAAAGGCGTTGTACGTGGTATTTTGTGTCACAGTGGGCGACCATACGGTGCAGAGCGGTGAATGTCCGATTCTCGAGCAGATATTGGTACCTTCGCTGATGGATAATCTTGGCAGACATCAGTACACATCAAAAACATCGAAAGCAACTTTTTGCATACATGCTAAGATTACACTGCACTCTGATACCACCTGCAAAAGCATCCAGCTGTAACGAGTATAAACATTGCTTCCGCCACCCGCTATCAACCTCAAACACCCTCCCCCAAACCCCTAGATGTCTATGTACAATTTCCCCCTTTCACACCCCGTGTTACTTTTCCGCCCAGATCCCAGGTATTTTCCGCAACAACTCCCTCCCCCGTTCCACCACCTCCGCGCTTCTCTGCGCTTTTCCGCGCGCCAGTGCGTTCTCAACCTCCGCACGCGCCCCTACTCTGGCTTTCTCACCTCGTCTTATTTTCCGCCCACTCCTTTTTCCAAGATCTCTTTTCGCGGCTTTAGTCTCCTCCCCTAAGCTCGTTGCACTCCCGTGCCGCCGCTCCCTTCGTTGCTTGCGACGTCGCGACTCTACTTCTCACCATGAGTGAGTTAAATCCCTTTTAGAGGCAGTCAGTATTTCGTCTTGTAGCAAATTGGTTGAGAGGTGAATCGTGTTATTAAACCAGAAACCCTGACCTAGTATGTGCCTGATGTCCGAATCGCTGGCTGATTGGGTAGTTCACTCGTTTCTGTGTCGCCGAAGTTGATGCTCGTGTCTACATTCACCTCTTGCCATATATTGACCTCTTTCCACCAAGCTTACCGCAGCATTAAGAATGGATCTTATTCGGTCCGTATCAGAGCTGTTATCCTTCTAGAGCTATCCCTGGCGATCGTGTCCAGTCGTTCAGCGGCGTTCTCTCGTGCGATCTGTCATGTCAATCCACTCCGAATTCTTTCTGTCGTTTCGTGGTCTTCCTGTGTCGACCGTCTTCCTGTAGTCGCCGTCGTCGTCCTCTCCCCGGTGGACCGACTCCCTCGCCTTAGAGAGACAACTTGGGAGTCGGTCCACGGCTTTGTTTTTTCCTAACCCTAAAAGCGCGTTGCCAAGGGAAGACGCCCATTAAACTTAAACACTCGCATCTTTCCCCTACTCCCCTCCACCCCCTGGTGTTTTAGGGCCAACATCTCTCACAACTCCCCTCCATTTCGTTTCCCATACCCACTCAACGCTTTCCTTCGCCCCCCCCTCCCCTTCAACCTCTCCGTCCTTCCCCGTACTCCCTTCAGTGGTAACGTGCACGGATTATTGGCCCGCGCCGGCAAGTTGCGCGGACACACGCCCGACGCGCAGGACAATTGTGCTCTTGTTCCCCCCCCATCCTAAATACCTGTGTTCCCATCTCCCGTTCCCCTGCTTCGGGCTCGTGTTCATTTCTCCCCTTCTTCCCCCCCCCCGCCACCCCTGATCCCCTTCGCCTTCTCCGCCGCGTTTGCGCGCAGGTAAGGTGCACGGATCGTTGGCGCGGGCCGGTAAGGTGGAGTAGCAGTTCTGATCCTGTTCCCCTCTAATCCCCACTACCTGTGCTCCCATTTCCCTCCCCCCCCCGCACTTGCGCGCAGGTAAGGTGCACGGATCGTTGGCGCGTGCCGGTAAGGTGCGCGGGCAGACGCCCAAGGTGGAGAAGCAGGACAAGAAGAAGCAGCCCAAGGGCCGCGCGCACAAGCGCATGCAGTACAACCGTCGCTTCGTCACCGCCGGTACGTGTTTTGAGTCGACTCAAGGCAGACGTTGACTACACTGCAGGCTAGCGCCGCCGCTTCGTCACCGCCGGTACGCGCGCACCCTTTATAGTCACTGCAGGCTAGCGCGCACCTGTTGTCGTCCCTACAGGCAAGCGCACAAGCGCATGCAGTACAACCGCTCGTCACCGCCGGTATGCGCACACCCGTTGTAGTCACCTTCGCTTAACTTTCGTTTGAGGGAGCGCTGCGGTCAGAGGGGAGCGCTTGCTGCTCCTTCTAGCAGCAGCAACGGCCTGATTAGGTCAGATGCCGGCTTTGCTGAAACGACAGATGCGGCCTTCAATAACGTCAGATCGCGCAGGCGCAAGCTGAGGGAGTCAAATTAGTTTTTTTTACCCTCCAACGAGGGTTTGAATTGTGTTTCGTCGTACTCGGCGACAGGGCAGCGATCCATTTAGGAGCGTTTTCGCTCAGGAGTCGCAGCAGCGTCGCGCAGGGTCACAGCAATTTCGCATTTCTGGCGACGTCAAGTAGGGCTAGTCTATTATTGGGAGAGACGGTACTGAAACTCCTCGTTACAATCCTATATTACGAGCGTGAGTCACGAGCGTGTGGTTTGGGCGTGAGGCATGACCTTTGTCAAAAGCGAGCCTGTGTTACGAGCGTAAGGCGTGAGCCTGTGTAACCAGGATCGTGGGCGGCGAACTACCTCTACTGCTCGTTCTGCCTTCTCACGCCCGCCAGCTCACCCTCCCCTCCCTCTCCCTATCGCCTCTTTCTGTCTTACACTGGTTGGAATTTGGCAAATCAGCGTGGGTCTACAATCACAAGAAACAACGCTGAGTGCTGCTTGTGTGCCTTGACAATCTCCTACCTCTTTCCGTCTCGTTTCTCCGTCTCCCCCCTGCCATCTTCCCCTCCCTCCGCCGTGCAGTGGTGGGATTCGGCAAGAAGCGCGGCCCTAACTCGTCTGAGAAGTAAATGCTGCGACGCTGTGTGCTTCTGCACCCTAGGTATGACGGTCTGAATTGCATCTTTGCTTATGACAATTTTGTCCTTCTGAACCACCCAATATCCCCCTCCCCCACTCCCTCCGCGCTCCACCTTCTCCCTCCCTTTTTTCCGTTCTGTAAATCTGTACTGCTGTCCCCTTGTGATGCAGCGGCTCTTGCTCCTCACTCTCCACTCCTCCTGCTCTTTTCCTGCCATCAATCGCACAGTCACCATTGATTTTCAGGCCCCATTGATTTTCAGGCCCCATCCAACCTTCTCTTCGCTTGGCCTCTCGCTCTTTCTCACTGTTCAACTTGTTCTTTTCACTGCCTGTGCCCTCCTCCCGTTTCCCCAACAGCACCATGGCATAGCACATCCAAACTGCAATCCATGCACATACCTGTCATCTCCATGGTCAACCTCTGGCTCGTTCCACCACCATCAGATCGCTCCTCCACCTTCACACTTCCAAACTTGTCCGCACCTCTCCGGCTGGTTTGCTAGCTTCGAAAGCTGGTCGCATTGTTAAGTAGTGTGTAGAAGGAAGTTGTTCGTCAGTTCGTAATGATGTGTGGTGGTATGATTTGTGGTGGCCCATTCGGTTATATGCAATGAGCTAGCATGGCAACAACAATGGCAGTGGATGTTACGTAAACACAGAGAAATGCACCAAGAATCCATATGAAAATATGCTGGTAGCTGTCAGTGGTGTTGTGTGTTTGTCCGTGCTAAAGCGGGTTGGACTTGGGCTGATTGTTCTTAGGCCCAGTCCTTCGCTGTTGTGGATGTGCTTTCGCGACACTCGCATGACCACGAAACAGTTACGATTGTGGTTACGTGGTCCTGCTATTTTCGTGGTTCTGGTTCTGTACACTTCTGGCGCGCAATGTGTTATGAATGAACTTGCAGAGTGCGCAGTAAAACGAATAACGAGAATGACTGATTACTGAATTACTGAATCCCGATACAATGGAAGTGACGAGGCCTAAATAGGGGAAGTCCTAGCAAGGTGGGGAGGTTGGGCGAGGATGGCTCGGTGATGGATGCGATTGGTGCGGAGGCGACTCGGGAGTGGTTCGGTGCGACGAAATAGGAAGGACAGGTTCGTCGCGTGATCCTCGGGATGACCTCGATAACGAGTGCCTCAGTAAGGATTTGTAAATCCTTACACAATGCCAGCCCTGCACTGTCTGACAGTCAGTTTCCCGCCACCGTTGAAATTGCCTCCTGTCGTTCCGTTTAGTTCAGTCTGCAACAATTCAACCTCGCAACATCCGCCAGCCAAGCCAATCAGAGACATGGCTGCTGCAGACTCCTTGAAAATTCGTCCCGCGTCGCTTTCGTGATTGGCAGAAAGCGCTCCTTCCCATCCCAGGTAAAAAGGTTCCTTCACGAATTCCGTTTCAATGTTCAGAAAGGTGAGTAGCGGTGAAAATATGTTGGGAACCGTTTTACAATGCACAGCATCGTACGCAACCGTCGAGCTCAACAGTATCACTTCCTACAGTCACCCCTGCGCACTACTAGTTTGATCAAGAAGACTCGAGAGGTGTGAAGCTTCAACGTTGAGAAATAGTAGTGTTCCTCAGCTGCAGCCGTGACGCCATGGCTTTAGCGCGCCCACACTAGTGTTCCCCGGCGTTAACGGATTCCTTTTTCTGACAGTATTCTTTCTAGGCCTCCTTAGACTGCGGCTAAGGTTAAGGTTGGTGATGCAGCAACTGAACATCATATTTCCCGTCAGCTGCTTCTTCGTTGCTTGTTATGGCGACCCTTGACTCAGGCCAAGAGCACCGCCTCACGGTGCTCGATCCCGTTACAGTCACATGTAGCGCTCGATTCGTTACAAGAGAGCGTCGCAAGAGCAGCGCGGTCCTGGACCCTCATCAAGAATTCCCGCCTCGGGAATTCCCCTCTCCGAGCCGCCTCGAGAGTATCGACGGCGCGTCGTTCCCCTTTTGCCGCGTGCGGGAAGACTGTCCGTCCAATAGTTGCTACAGTAGCAGCGCGCTTTACGGCCAAATTCCTGGTATGGTTCCCGGCTTTTTTGGGCCTGGAGCTTCCGGTAAGAGCACCGGTTGCTGTCACCCTGCCCACAGCTCTCATCATAATCACTCCGGTCACAGTCACTCGAATCATGGTCTTTCCAGCAACAGCAATCCTCAGAGCTCCACAGCAGACGGATCGCGGAAACCAAACCCGCTGGCTGACCGAACGAACCTGACAACGCAACCCGCGGGTAAACTAGGGAGCGAACCGCGGTCAGCGAAGATCGCTCAGGCGCACCGTAATCCCCAGAACCAACAGCATCACCAGCATCCACGTCAGCAGCATCAGCGTCCACATCAGCACGAACAAGGAAAGCCGACAGAAATTCCTTCGCCTCTCGCTAATACTTCTCTCGCTACAGGAACAAGCAACGGCACTCAAACGGAGTGGAAAGTCCGGCCCTCAGGTCGCGGGTTCTTTAGCAAGCTGAAGCATTTCTTCCCTGTGCGTGGATTGGTGGGTAAGCGCAGCGAACCCGTAAATTCCGGGATCTCAAACCCAGTTGCGGAGCAGAAAGGATGCGTGGAGAGAGGCAGCACAGCAGCGTCAGCGCTAGGTGCGAATAGCGGGAATGCGGACGCGCTAGGAGCGAATAGCGAGAATGCGGACTTGGGAAGTTGGGGTCCTGCGGAAGGTGCAGATACGGCCAGGAGCCGGCCTCCTGGACGCGGTATCGTGCGCTCCGTTTCGCTTACAGTGACGGGGACGAGTCACAACGAATACGCGGATACGGCAGGGAATCCGGGCGAGGCGGAACTAGCGGACCGGGCGAAGAGACACGAGTATGGTTACTTTCGCAGGCGAATGAGTGATATCAGTGGTATCAGGGGCGCTGGTACTGGCATCACTGGTATCAGCGGCAACAGCAGCCAAAGCATCAGTGCCTTGGGAATGCCGAGGCTGGTGGCAGGCATGGATCTTGCCGTACCTGCCGGGTTGGAGGCATGGGGTGTGGGGAGAGGAGGGGATTTGTGGGACTTGGAGGGAGTGAGAGACGCAGGATGGGAGGGTGGAGATGGTGGGAGCTTGTGTTATGGCGTTGGTGATGACGTGGATGGTAACGTCAGTGATGACGTTGGTGGCTGTGGCTTTGGTGACTCTAAAGAATGGTGGAGCGATGGGGGTAGAATGGAGAGGGCTTTTTTGGAGTCTCTTATAACGGGGGAGAGCTTAACGGGAGCGGCAGATGGGTCCAGATCGTTCGTTTTAAGCATGATGTGGCGCTCTCCCTGCCACGTGGCATCCGCCCTCTGCGTAAGTGCTGAGGCTCGCGTGTGTGTGGTGAGAACTCCCTTCAACTCCGCCCCCTCCGCACCTTTCCCCCTTATCTTTCTTGGTTTAGCTCTCTTTTCCCCTCCATACCCGCATCTCTCTTCCTCAATCTTACTCCCTCTGTGTCCCTCCTCCTTCACTCCGTGCTTCTCGTCCTTCCTTCCTCCCTCTTTTGCTCCCTCCTCCCCCCCATCTATATCGCTCTCTCCACCTTTCTGTCTCTCTCCACCTCTCTGTCTCTCTCCAACTCTCTGTCTCTCTCCAACTCTCTGTCTCTCTCCAACTCTCTGTCTCTCTCCAACTCTCTGTCTCTCTCCACCTCTCTGTCTCTCTCCAACTCTCTGTCTCTCTCCAACTCTCTGTCTCTCTCCAACTCTCTGTCTCTCTCCAACTCTCTGTCTCTCTCCACCTTTCTGTCTCTCTCCACCTCTCTGTCTCTCTCCAACTCTCTGTCTCTCTCCAACTCTCTGTCTCTCTCCAACTCTCTGTCTCTCTCCAACTCTCTGTCTCTCTCCACCTCTCTGTCTCTCTCCAACTCTCTGTCTCTCTCCAACTCTCTGTCTCTCTCCAACTCTCTGTCTCTCTCCAACTCTCTGTCTCTCTCCAACTCTCTGTCTCTCTCCAACTCTCTGTCTCTCTCCACCTCTCTGTCTCTCTCCAACTCTCTGTCTCTCTCCAACTCTCTGTCTCTCTCCAACTCTCTGTCTCTCTCCAACTCTCTGTCTCTCTCCAACTCTCTGTCTCTCTCCACCTCTCTGTCTCTCTCCAACTCTCTGTCTCTCTCCAACTCTCTGTCTCTCTCCACCTCTCTGTCTCTCTCCACCTCTCTGTCTCTCTCCGCGTCCCTCTGCTCCCCCCTCGCCCTCCCATTCCCAATGCCCGACTTTTCTCACCTTGTCTTCTCAACTCCCTCCCATCCGTGTCCCCTGCGCTCTCCCCTCCCAGCGCGCCTATGCGTGTATCGTTGCTGCCAAGGCGGTGGCGAGGGTGTTATCTTACCGCCTCCCATCCCCCTATTCCTCTGCGCTCTCCCCTCCCAGCGCGCCTATGCATGCATCGTGGCGGCCAAGGCAGTGGCGTGGGTGGCATCTCTGCATCTCATGGAAGGCGCCCTGACTCGTTACAAGGATCGTGAGGGAGAGAAGCACGCAGTGACTCGTTATAAGGACCGAGAGGAAGAGGGGCACGCAATGACTCGATTTAAGGACCTCGGGGAAGAGCAGCAGAGATTGACTCGTTATAAGGAGCACGAGGGGGTGCAAGGCGCGTGGTTTCGCTACAAGGACGGGGAGGCAGGGGCTGGCGAGTGCTCGCATGCAGAAGCTGCCAATCGTGGCCTGCCACGTGGAGGCTGTGAGAGAACTCGAGAGAGCCGCAGGGAGGGGCTTAAGGGACTTGGCGAATCTGAGGCATGGTTAAGGGACCACTCGGGTAGTAGTCCGTGTGTGTGCTGCTGTGAGAAGAGGGGGAGAGTGATGGGTGGGGTAAGAGGAGAGAGGAGGCATGGGGAGCATGGGATGTATGGGGTGCATGGGGAGCATGGAATGCATGACATGCATGGGGTGCATGGGAGGCGTGGAGTGGGTTTGAGGCATGGGGAGCATGGGATGCAGCATGGGGTGCATGGGGAACGTGTGAGGCGAAGGCAGCAGCGTGGCATGCATGGGCCAGCAGCGAACCGCCTTAACATGCAATGGGCGGCAGCAGCAGAGGCAGGAGAAGCAGAGGCAGCTGCAGCATCAGAGACAGCAGAAGCAACAGGAGGGATAGTAAGCGTGGCACGAGCGTCAGCTGAAAAGGACGAGGCAGCAGCCGCTGCAGGAGCAGCAGCAGCGGCGGCGGCAGCAGCAGCAGCGGCGGCGGCGGCAGCAGCAGCGGTGGAGCTGGAGAGGTGTGCAGCGAGGGCTGGGATGGACCGACTGGTGCTGGATTGGGTGTTTGGCCCGGGGGAGAGCACACGCAGGTGGGTGGCTGACGGTGGGGAGAGCACACGCAGGTGGATGGCTGACGGGGAGGGAAGCACAGGCGGTTGGGACATGCGACCAGGGGAGAGCACAGGCAGGTGGGTGGCTGACGGTGGGGACCACACTGGTGGTTGGATGATTGAGACGAGAGAAAGCAGTGGCAAGTGGATGGCTGGGGAGTGTGGAGAGGAGTTTTTGGAGGGTAGCCTGAGTTTTGAGACGTGTCAGAATCAGTTTCAGGAGGGGAGTCAGAGTTTCGAGACGCCTGAGAAAGAGTTTGTGGAGGGAACGCAGAGTGGCCGTAGGGAGGGTGAGAATAGGTCTCTCTATGGTGATTCACATGAAGAGCTTGATGTGATTCAGAGGGTGCGGGGAGATCGGCGCTTGTCTGCCGCCCTCCCCAGCATCCTAGAGGAAGGTTCTGAGATGACTGGGGAGACACAGGGAGAGTTTGGGCCAGCTGGGAACGTTGATGCTCCGTGTATCTATGAATCAGGGCCGTGGGGAGTGTCCGCAAATTGGTTTCAAGGGGGGAGACGTGTGGAAAATTCGGGCTTTGGTATGCCGGATCTCACTGATATTGAGTCGTCCACTAACGAGTCGGCAGCGGGAGAGGGTGGTATGGCGCAAGGGGGTGCAGTGGTAGGTACAAGAGTGGTAGCAGAAGGGGTTTCTGTTTCACTGGTGGGGTTCCTGGCGTCCTTTGAAGCGGAGATGAGTTCTGGCAGGACTGGTGGTGCGGGGGAGGTGACAGGGGAGGGAGAGAGGGAGGGAGGAGAGGAGGGCGGAAGGAAGTGGAGTGAAGGGGGGCTGGGTGGGAGGGAGGATGAGGGAGGAGAAGGGAGGGAAGGAGGTGCAGAGGGGGAGGTGGGAGAAAATGCTGTTGAAGGAGAAGGGAAGGTAGAAGAGGAGAGGAGGTCTGGGAAGGAGGTGAGGGTTGAGGAAAGGAGGGGTGGGGGAGGGAGGGGTGAAGAGGGGAGAGTGGAGAAGGAGAGAGGGGGAGGAGAAGGTGGAGAGTGGGAAAGGGAGGGGTTAGACTGTGAGGTATTTGAGGATGCTGCTAGCGAAGCAGGGTCTGGTTCCTTGACGGTTTTCGAATCAGCTCTGACGTGGGAAGGAAAGGGGACAGATTGTGACGTTTTCGAGGAGGTTGTTAGCGAAGCAGGGATAAGGGATAGCAGCGTGAGTGTGGCTGAAGAGGAGAGTGCTGGGCTGACTCGGAATGTAGGGCAGCAGCAGGAGCAGCTGGAGCAGGAGCAAGGGCAAGAAGAAGGGCGGCAGCTGGAGAAGCAGCAGCAGCAGCAGCATCATCATCATCAGCATCGTCATCAGCAGCAGCAGCATCAGCAGCAGCAGCAGCAGCAGCAGCAGCAGCAGCAGCAGCAGCATCGATTCTCGCCTATCTCACTCATGCCCCAAGCCTGGAGCCCCAGATTGCACCTTCCACAGCAGCAGCCGCAGCAGCAACAGCTGCAGCAGTTTCAGTCACAGCAGCAGCAGATTGAGGGAGAGAACGCTTGGGTGTATGGGCTCCAGACACAAAGGCTCAGCTGGGACAGGTGGGGGAGGGAAGGAGTGCGAGAGAGCGTGGAAAGCGGGTGGAACGTGGGGGAGAGCGTGAGGGAGAGTGTGGGGGAGAGCAGCAGGGAGGGCAGGATGGGTCTGATACAAGGGGGGAGGTACAGCAGTGGCGCGGGCAGCAGCAGAGGGTGCAGCAGCAGCGAGAGTGACAGAGGGCGCAGCAGCAGAGAGGGTAGCAGCAGCAGCAGCAGCAGCAGCAGCAGCGGCCGTGGGAGTAGCAGTAGAGGGGAGGGCAGTGTGAGGAATTTTGATGAGGGAGGTGGTAGCAGAAGTAGCAGAGAAGGCTCCTTGGATGTGGATGGGCGTGGAGGGGAGTATGGGGGTGGGCAGTGGGGAACAGGAAGAGAGGAGCTTGAGTGTGAGCGGGAGAATGAGCACGAGCATGAGTGTGGGAAAGCTTTGAAGCCCTATTCTGCTGAGCATGAGCACTCAGATCTGACCTTTTTGTCACTGGGGGTTCGAGTGGGACAGGGAGGAGGAGGAAGAGAGGGCAAAGGAGCGCTAGGTGGTGATTCAGAGGAGGGATTGGGAAGAGAGGAGGTGGGAATGGGAAGGGACGAGGGGAGTCTTCTCACTCAGTCAAATTGGCTGAGACTGAGTGTGGGTATGGAGTGTTCTAAGGAGTCTCCGCGCGTTATTGACTTTATGGGGTCTTCATTCAACTGTGATTCGCTGGAGGATAGGGCCACTCCACGTGGCACATCACTGGCCTCTCCACGTGGCACTAATACAGCAAGTCCACGTGGCACAGCGTCAGGCTCTCCTGGAGCCACAGCACTGGCCTGGCCTCATGCCACGTGTCAGCATGCTCATGGCAGCCCATCATCAAGCAATGACCTCCGGGTAAGTTCCCTCCTGCCTTGAGGCACGAGCATTTAACACCATGGCGCTGCCTTGAAAGCTTTGCTGACTTATAGTAGACTCGAGAATCAGCTGCCTTCAGGCTATGACTTGCAACACCATGCCACAACTGCTTTGAGGGCTATGTCTAATTCTGAGTGGATCGTTTTAGAACATGAATAACCACGTCACTGCCTTGAGAGCTTGTGAGTGTTGGGACTTTCCCTCCCTCCCAGTTCTCTCAGGTGATTGTGTCGCGGCAGCAGGGACAAATTGAACAGCTGCGGCGGCTGCTGGGGCAGCAGATGGAGGCGTGCCATGCACTGGCTGCTGCTGCTCTGCTCTGTCTAACCCGTGCTGCCCTGCATCTCCCTTTCACTTCCCCACTTTGTTCTTTCAGGAGCTGGTGGCTCGGCAGCAGGGGCAGATTGAGGAGCTGCGGCGGCTGTTAGGGCAGCAGATGGAGGCGTGCCACGCGCTGGCTGCTGCTCTGGACTCCCCTGACTTTTGAGTCTCCTTTGACCCATGCTTGCTTGTATTGTTTCCGTTGAACTTCCTCTCCCTCCCTGTTCTCTCAGGAACTAGTGGCGCAACAGCAAGGGCAAATAGAGGAGCTGCGGCGGCTGTTAGGGCAGCAGATGGAGGCGTGCCATGCTCTGGCTGCTGCTCTGAGGCTGCAACACCAGGAGCGTCAGCATTTGGGGAGGCAGGGGGAGCAAGGGTTGGGAGGTTTGAAGGAGACTCAGGAGGCAGATCTAGAGGAAACAAAGCTTCGAGAAAGCAGGTCCGAGGAAGCAGATGGGGCAGAAGGGGAAGAAGGGGCAGAGGAGGCGGGTGGTGAAAGAGAGAAGGAAGTACGGGATAGTGGAGGAGGCGAGAGAGAGGGGGCACGGGAATGGAGGGACCTGGATTGGGATGACGAGTTGATGCAGCAGTCGGGGGAGCTGCGAGGAGATATCACGAGCCTGAAGGATCAGGTGGGTTAGTTTCCTCTCTGTTAATCAACTGCCTCCCGAGGCATGATTGTGATGTGAATAACAGCAGTTGATGCAGCAGTCGGGGGAGCTGCGAGGAGATATTACAAGTCTGAAGGATCAGGTGGGTTGAGTATTTCATTTGTTTGGAGAAAAAGGAGGCCTTCTGTGTCTGTTCACCTGTTGACTCCCTTTTACTCCCTGTGACTGTTTGAGTGGTGCGACGCAGTTGGCCCTTTGACTCCCTGCATGCAGCTTGCTTGCTCAAAGGGCCAACCGCATCGCACCACTCAAACAGCCACTGCTCCACACCATGGCGCAGCTCAACTCTCGCTCTCCCTCCCCTTCCTGCTCTCCCTCTCCTGCTCTCCGCCCTAACCCCGGATCTCTTTCTGTGCCTTTCCTTCCCTCTCCCCGTCCCCTCCATGCAGCTTGCTCAAAGGGCAAACCGCATTGCATCACTCAAACAGTCGCGCTCAGCACAAGTCCCGCTCTCCCTCTCTCCTTGCCTTGTGTGTCTCATTTGCCCCTCCCCGTTCCCTTTATGCAGCTTGCTCAAAGGGCCAACCACATAGCATCACTCAAGCAGTTGCTCCTTCACACCATGGCTCAGCTCAAGTCCCACTCTCCCTCCCGCTCTCCCTCCTGCTCTCCCTCCCGCTCTCCCTCCTGCTCTCCCTCTTGCTCTCCCTCCTGTTCTCCCTCCAGCTCTCCCTCCTAACCCCAGATCTCTTTCTGTGCCTATCCTTCCCCTCTCCTCGTTCCCTCCATGCAGCTTGCTCAAAGGGCCAACCGCATAGCATCACTCAAGCACTTTCTCCTTCACACAATGGCCCAGCTCAAATCCCGCTCTCCCTCCCCTGGACCCGCTTTCTCCCTCGCTTCCCTCCACTTCCCCTCCCTCCCCTCGCCCTCCCAACAACCCTCCTCTCGCCCATCCCCATCTCCTCAGCTCCCATCCCTCCACTCGCCCTCTCGTCTCCCCTCTGCTCTTCGCCTGCATTCTCCGTCTCCCAGGCATTCCCCCGTGCTTCCATTCCGCCCGGCCTCTCATTCACGTATCTCTCCCCTTCATACGGTCGGTGCACAGTGCAGTGATTGTTTATAGCTACACTATAGGAACCAACAAGACCCCATGACTATGTGATTCTAAGTTTTATCGAGATTCAACTTGGTTGCTATTGTCTCGAAGAAATGCTCATAGAACTTAATTTTCTGCAGCAAATCAGTAGCTCACTTTATACTTCAGGATACAAACAGATTGGTGGATTGCACATCTTAACACAACAAGCAGCATGTGTAAGGGCGTGCTCCTACATCTCTTATCAGTCACACCTTCAGTGCAGATGCAATTACGCGCACTCCAGTGCGGTGCGGTGCGGTGCAACATGCCTCTGTTACAAGGATCAGCGTGTATTTTGATCGCAACGGGCTTACGAATCCCGAACTTGCACTTCTCGCCACTTCTCCATCTCGTTCTTGTTTGTAGCAGCCTCGATAGACAATGCTGCTCCCGCCGCTGCACTGACTTTTGATAAAATGGTGAAGCAAAAAATGGAAACTGGGCAAGCAGAGAGGAGCATTGGCAGGGCAAGCAGAGGCAGCAGTGAGTGGTGGCAGTGGTGGTAGCACTTACCATGGCTACCTTGCGAGTGTCTAGAGGGCAGACATACGTGTACTCAAATGATACCCCTGGTCGCAGCACTGGCGGCTGTTCCACCACTCCATCCCCCTGTTGTTATGCCACGAGGGGAGAAGCTGAGGGGTGTGAGTGGCAAGAAGGTGAGCGGATCGGGGGAGAAACGCGGGGTAAGTGGGGGGAGGTGGGGGGGAGTGGAGGTGGAATGAGAGATGGGCGAGAAAGGAGAAAAGGGGAGAGCGGGGGAGATGAGGGGCGAGAGAGAGGGTGATGAGGGGTGAGCAGGAGAAGGAGAAAGGAGATCCGGGAGTAGGTTATATGGGGAAAGAGGAGGGGAAGTTGAGGGAAGAGAAGGGGGGAAATGAGATGAGAGCGAGAAGGGAACGAGGGGAGAGCGAGGGGAATGAGCAGAGAGCGGAGGGGAAAGGGATGAGGCGAGAGCGGGAGAAAATAAGGCGAGAGCGGGACAAGATGAGGGATGTCCTTCGATCCCCCCCTCCCCACTCCTCTCCTCCCCCCACCCCCCGTCCTCCTCTCTCCTCCCCCCACTTTCCCGCATTCCGTACCTCGCGACACACCCACGTCTCTTACCTTTCTCCTTCCATTTCTTCTACCGTTTCGGGGTGGCAACGCCGTCATTTACGCCTCCGCTTAATCACCTGCTTAACGAAATCAGGTAGGCGGTATCGGCGACGCTAATGGGCACGAACCGAAGCCTCTGATGTGTCTGCATGGGAGCGTGCTCGCGAATCAACATGCGCAGACTCCCCGGACGCCCCAGAGCGTCGCGATGCTCTCCCCGGACGCCCCAGAGCGTCGCAATGCTCTCCCAGGACGCCCGAGAGCGTCGCGATGCTCTCCCCGGACGCCCCAGAGCGTCGCGATGCTCTCCCCGGACGCCCCAGAGCATCGCAATGCTCTCCCCAGCCGCCCCGGAGCATCACGATGCTCTCCCCGAACGCCCCAAAGCGTCGGGATGCTCTCCCCGGACGCCCCACAGCATCGCGATGCCCTCCCCGGACGCCCCAGAGCGTCGCGATGCTCTCCCCGGACGCCCCAGAGCATTGCAATGCTCTCCCCAGCCGCCCCAGAGCGTCGCGATGCCCTCCCCGAACGCCCCAACGCGTCGCGATGCTCTCCCCGGACGCCCCAGAGCGTCGCGATGCTCTCCCCGGACGCCCCAGAGCATCGCGATGCTCTCCCCGGACGCCCCAGAGCGTCGCAATGCTCTCCTTGGACGCCCCAGAGCATCGCGATGCTCTCCCCAGCCGCCCCGGAGCATCGCGATGCTCTCCCTGGACGCCCCAGAGCTTCGCGATGCTCTCCACGGACGCCCCAGAGCGTCGCGATGCTCTCCCCAGACGCCCCAAAGCGTCGCGATGCTCTCCCCGGACGCCCCAGAGTGTCGCGATGCTCTCCCCGGACGCCCCAGAGCATCGCGATGCTCTTCCCAGCCGCCCCGAAGCATCGCGATGCTCTCCCCGGACACCCCAGAGTGTCGCGATGCTCTCCCCGGACGCCCCAGAGCGTCGCGATGCTCTCCTCAGACGCCTCAGAGCATCACGATGCTCTCCCCATACGCCCCAGAGCGTCGCGATGCTCTCCCCGGACGCCCCAGAGCGTCGTGATGCTCTCCCCAGCCGCCCCAGAGCGTCGCAATAATCTCCACGGACGCCCCAAAGCATCGCGATGCTCTCCCCTGACGCTATGCTCTCCCCGGACGCCCCAGAGCGTCGCGATGCTCTCCCCTGACGCCCCAGAGCGTCGCAATGCTCTCCCCGGATGCCCCAGAGCATCGCGATGCTCTCCCCGGACGCCCCAGAGCATCGCGATGCTCTCCCCAGCCGCCCCGGAGCATCGCGATGCTCTCCCCGGACGCCCCAGAGCGTCGCGATGCTCTCCCCGGACGCCCCAGAGCGTCGCGATGTTCTCCTAGGACGCCCCTGAGCATCGCGATGCTCTCCCGGGACGCCCCAGAGCGTCGCGATGCTCTCCCCAGCCGCCCCAGAGCGTCGCGATGCTCTTCCCGGACGCCCCTGAGCATCACGATGCTCTCCCCGGACGCCCCAGAGCGTCGCGATGCTCTTCTCGGACGCCCCTGAGCATGCGATGCTCTCCCCAGCCGCCCCAGAGCGTCGCGATGCTCTTCCCGGACGCCCCAGAGCGTCGCGATGCTCTCCCCGGACGCCTCAGAGCGTCGCGATGCTCTCCCTGGACGCCCCAGAGCATCGCGATGCTCTCCCCGGACGCCTCAGAGCGTCGCGATGCTCTCCCCGGACGCCCCAGAGCGTCGCGATGCCCTCCCCGGACGTCTCAGAGCGTCGCGATGCTTTCCCCGGACGCCCCAGAGTGTCGCGATGCTTTCCTCGTACGCCTCAAAGCATCTCGATGCTCTCCCCGGAAGCCCCAGAGCGTCGCGATTCTCTCGCCGGACGCCCCAGAGCGTCGCGATGCTCTCCCCGGACGCCCAGAGCGTCGCCATTCTCCCTCCGGACGCCCCAGAGCATCGCGATGCTCTCCCCAGCCACCCCGGAGCATCGCGATGCTCTCCTCGGACGCCCCAGAGCGTCGCGATGCTCTCCCCGGACGCCCCAGAGCGTTGCGATGCTCTCCCCTGACGCCCCAGAGCGTCGCGATGCACTCCCCGGACGCCCCAGAGCGTCGCGATGCTCCCCCCGGACGCCCCAGAGCATCGCGATGCTCTCCCCAGCCGCCCCGGAGCATCGCGATGCTCTCCTCGGACGCCCCAAAGCATCGCGATGCTCTCCCCAGCCGCCCCGGAGCATCGCGATGCTCTCCTCGGACGCCCCAGAGCGTCACGATGCTCCCCATGGACGCCCCAGAGCATCGCGATGCTCTCCCCGGCCGCCCCAGAGCGTCGCGATGCTCTTCCCAGCCGCCCCAGAGCGTCGCGATGCTCTCCCCGGACGCCCCAGAGCGCCGCGATGCTCTCCTCGGACGGCCCAGAGCGTCGCGATGCTCTCCCCGGACGCCCCAGAGAATCGCGATGCTCTCCCCGGACGCCCCAGAGCGTCGCGATGCTCTCCCCGGACGCCCCAGAGCGTCGCGATGCTCTCTCCAGCCGCCCCAGAGCGTCGCGATGCTCTCCCCGGACGCCCCAGAGCGTCACGATGCTCTCCCCGGACGCCCCAGAGCGTCGCGATGCTCTCCCGGGACGCCCCAGAGCGTCGCGATGCTTTCCCCGGACGCCCCAGAGCGTTGCGATGCTCTCCCCTGACGCCCCAGAGCGTCGCGATGCTCTCCCCGGACGCCCTAGAGCGTCGCGATGCTCCCCCCGTGTTGGTGCAACCCTACGGTTTGCACTCGGCTTGTTGTCCGTGTGCGTGAATGTGTGTGTGTATGGAATGGTATGAGGGCATGGGATAATATATATTTCATGCTTATAATTGTGTGTGAATGTTGAGTCATGATGTCGAGTGTGTGTGTCGAGTCAATAGCGAGTTATCGCTAGACGCGTGTTACGCGGTCGTTTGTGTCTCGCGCGCGGTTTCTATTTTGTCGTGCGCGGTTTCTATTTTGTCCTGGGTCGAACGTTCGGCGTGTCGCAGGTGTGTGCAGCAGACCCATCAAGAACTCAAGGATGAGTTTGTGATGAAGAGCCCGAGCCTTGGTGTCAAGCCTCAAGTGATTTCGAAGCTTGCCAAAAGGGTACACCTCAAGATATTGAAGATAGTTACATTACTTTGTGTAGTGTAACATTTCACTTGGTGTAGGCCCTAGTGAAGGGTAGTTTCGAGATCCTTCGTGGTTGGGGACAGTGTGGCACTGTTCCACATCACTGTACCTCGGCTCTTGGGGTTTGTAGGAGCTGGGAGTCATTCCCAACTCGTAACTCTTCCTATCTTGTGTTCTAAGACTATAGTGGCTGCCATAGTACCGTTCGTTCAAACCGACGCTGTGTCGTCAATTCTTTATCAAATCGTGCAATCTAAATTGCTAATTGTAGACGACGTGAAGACGCTCCAGATCCAATTTGAATCAAGTCATTTGCAGCTGTGAGCAGAACGCTATCAACGTTTGAAGCCGCTGTGCAGAAATCCGTCTGTGCTCTCTATCTTTCGTTTTAGGCACATTCAAGCCTATTGTGACTATAACAAGTGGTATCAGAGCCCCTTGGAGCAGTTTCGACAATGTCTGGACCTGAGGAAAGGGGTGGCAGAGGTGCTGGTGGCAGTGGAGAAGCTCAAGCTCAAGGCCAACCCCGTGATTCAGCCATGGCGCCCATGCAACCAAGTCTTGGCCCACCTAGGGATGAGCCTAGGGTGTTTGGGCTTGACAAGTTCAACGGTGACAACTTTGCTGAATGGTCCTTCAAGATGGAGAACATCTTTGACCACTATGACCTGCTGGAGGTGATGGAAGGAACGGAGAAGCGCCCCGAGAACGACCCGGAGAAGAGCCCGTGGGTGCGGAAGAGCGCACAAGGCTATCTCTTACTTGGGCAAGCGTTGGGGAGCAGTCAGATCCGTCACATCAAGCCATTCCAGCGTGAACCAGAGAAAGGACCAAAGGCATGGGCTGCTCTCAAGGGTGTACATGCTCCTGCAACAGCGGCGGTAGCGGTGGTGTTGGAACGGCAAATGGCGGCACTACGAATTGAAGAAGACGAAGCGGTTGAAGAAGGGGTGCAGAAATTCTTCGACTTGTTGACGCGGCTTGAGGGAGCTGATTTGAACTACAGTGAGCTCCAAAAGAAGACCAAGTTGCTGGCCTTACTCCCAGAGTCATGGTCCTCGCTCATCATCAACCTTAATCGCGACTTGCCCCGCCTCTCGCTTGAAGACGTGAAGCGAGCTATCCTTCAAGAGGATTTCCGCCGCCGTGAGTTGGCGAGTGCGGATGGCGCTGGGGCAGCGAGCATCGGCCGTGGATATGGTCGAGGAAGAGGCAGAGGACGAGGGGGAGGAAGGTTTGGTGGCAGCAACTTCGGCGGAGGCCGCAGGAGTGGCGGTTACGGCAGCGACGACAAGAGCTACGGACGCGGTCGCGGCCGATTCGACGGCGAGTGTCACTATTGCCATAAGAGCGGACACATGTGGCGCGACTGCTACAAACTCCCTGATGGTTGGACCCCTGCTCAAGGCCAAGAGGGTAGAGGAGCAGGAGGAGGGAGAGGACGAGGCCGTGGAGGCCGTGGCGGTCGCGGTGGCGGAGCTGCAAACATGAAGAGCGGAGACAACGACAAGGACCCGAGCGACGATCGATACCCGGGTCTATTCTACTTCGTGTCGACGCAAGTACCGGCTGGTCCAGAGAAGGATGAAGGCTTTGAGGAGCCAGCAGCTGTGGGGAAGGTGACCCTACACCCCCTGGACTATTGGGTGATTGATAGTGGCGCTACCTATAGCATGACACCTCGCCCGGACTTGCTCACCGAACTCGAGCCGTCACCGGTGAAGCATGTCACATCGGCTTTGGGGCAGCGAGCAGAGGTGAAAGGCATGGGCAAGGCCATGTTCAAGGGTGCTGATGGGAAGATGGTGGGCCTCAAGAACGTGCTTTGGGTGCCCAGCCTTGCTGCAAACCTGATTTCCGTGCGGTGGTTGGCAAAGGCCGGCATGGACACGAACTCGAAGGGAGCCAAGACCTACACCGCAAGGCTTGGCGATCGAATTCTTTGGGACCTTCATGAGGACAGGGATGTCTACAACGAGATGTGGCAGATCCCAGTGGTCCCTATGCCTAAGGAGAGGCAAGTGGCAGCAAGCATCAGCACCAAGGATGGAGCGGTCGGTAGCGACGATGGCGCGAACGGTCGCGCTAAGGAGAATGAGCTCAAGAAGAGCAAACCTGGAGGGACCAGCAAGTTTAGTGAACCTAAGGAGAGTGGTGCAGCAACCAAGGAGCAGCAAAAGGGTGAGGAGAACCCAGAGGCAGCAGCGGAGGAGGACTACGGAGAGAGTATGTGGGGCGCTATTGCGAGCGCGGCATTCTCCAATCCAACTTCGGCTACGGGGGAGTGTGATTGGCTCACCTTGCATCGGCGCATGGGGCATGTGGCCCTGCCCATCTTGCAGCAGCTAGTGAAGAATGAGATGGTTGCTGGCATACGTGTGAAGGGGGAGCCCGATGAGGTGCTTGGCTGCCCGACGTGCATTCAAGCCAAGTTCACCCGGTTTCCGTTCCCTAGTTCGGAGGCAACGGCAAAGGCACCGCTTGATGAGGTGGTGATGGACGTGGTGGGCCCCCTGAAGCTTGGAGCTGCTGGAGCTGAGTATTTTCTCACCATTGTCGACGTCTACACCCGCATGACTTGGGTGTACGTGCTGGCCAAGAAGAGCGACGTGGCTGAAACGTTGAAGACGGATTGGTTTCCGATGGTGGAGCGGCAACAAGACCGTCTAGTCAAGTCAATCCGCACCGATCGAGGGGGAGAGTTCCTGAGCAAGGAGTTTGGGTTGTGGCTGAAGAAGAATGGTATTCGGCACTCCTTCACCATGCCATACTCCCCTGCAATGAACGGCATCGCCGAGCGAGCGAACCGCACAATCACGGAGGCGGCACGCGGGTTGCTCATTGAAGCCGGGCTACCCGACTATTTCTGGCCTGATGCGGTGCGGAGCGCGTGTGTGGCCAAGAACAGAGCCTTGACTCATGTGGGAGCAGACAAATGGGTGCCCTATGTGGAGTGGCTAGGAAGGAAGCCAAAGGTGGATATGCTTCGGGTGTTCGGGTGCATGTGCATGGCGCTCGTGCCTAAGCATCTTCGGCACAACAAGCTTGGTGCCAAGGCGGTGTGGGCCGTGCACTTGGGCATGGCTCAAAACAGCAAGGGATGGATTCTTTGGGACCCATTCACCAAGAAGTTCTTGGTGAGCAGGGACTGCAAGTTCATGGAGAACTTCATGTACAAGGATTGGAAGGCGGAGAATGAGGCGAAGATAGGCGTGCGGTTTGGGGAGGTGAAGAGTTCCGGTTTGGAGCATGTGGAGCTGCCTTTGGAACTGAGCAGCGGCAGCACAACCACAAGGCAATCCTCCCTTGTGAATGGGGGAGAGGAGGCCAATGATGCAGAGGAAGAAGAGGAGGAGGTGCAGCAAGTGAGCGAGCGTGCACCGTCACTCCCTTCCCGTACTACGAGTGCTCCACGGATTCGAGCCACACCGCAGCAACGCCAAGGCCTTCAAGTCCCTGCAGCTGAGGAGGAAGGAAGGGGGAAGAGGAGAG